AAACTGCTATCACTGTCACCGACTCGTTAAGAAAGCACAGGGTTGCAATCACGATAAAATATGGTAAATGGGAATGCCCCATAACTACAATCGTTCTGTGTTTTCCTCTAATGTTACTCCTATCTCTATAACCGGCACCGTCGATGGACGAAAATCATAAGTCCTGAAAGACACAAGCATATCCATGTCTATGATAAACATGTGGTAGTTTATTCTTCTGGCCACATAACTGAAAATTGAGCACTGTCATACCATTCTTAGAGCAGTGAATGGGGCACAAGTAAACATGCATGCTACAACCGCATTTCAGTTAGGATTACATCGTCTGAATGCGCAGTTTTAATTCCTAGTATGTTTACAAACTGCCGGGGACATCATCTTAGGCGTCAACTTCGTAACTGCCCGTCACAGCACTTTAAATCCTAGCAGATAGCATATCGAGATATACTCTGCCCTCGCACTTTTTTTACCTAGCTGTCAACCGGATTTAGTATCAAGTGTTAGTATGCCACGAACACTTGATAAAATTTCTTTAAACCCATCTAACAGATGAGATTCGCCCTGACATTGTTTCTTCTATTCAAATATTCAACTATATATTTGATGGCGGACACAATCATGGGTGCACAAGCATTGTACAACACGCCACCGAAACTGGGGATCTTATCCCACCTTGCCAAGCATCTCATAGAATCCCAGTCGATTATCAGCCACAACTAAGCGTTACGATCGGTGAGATGTTAAGGAGAAAGATTGTCACGCCATCCTCCTCTCCTTGGGCATCACCTAGTGTCTTAATAAGAAAAATGATGGCTTTACTAGACTCTGTTTTGGTTACCGTCGGTTGAATGTCACTACCAATTATGACTCATTTCCACTACTCCAAATAGACACCACTTCATACGTGCTAAACTGCACCTGCGGAATACCAGTTTCTCTAGTGTGAAGTAATCTTACTGTCACCACAAGGCATAAAAAAATTTAATCAGATCCGAGTAGGACTGGACTCATTTCAACCTGTACTCTACGTAAATCAGCTAGTGATCTCCAGGGTTTCCCTGGATTAGCTTCATACTATGGACGGTTTGTAGCCTACTTTCCGTCGTTAGTAGCAGCTTTACAACGATTAATTCAAAAAGGGAGGAGGTTCGCATGGACTGGAAGTGTCTAAATGCATTTGATGAATTAGAGAAACGCCTCGTTTCTTCAGCCATACTAACGTTTCTCAACACATCTCCGACTGCTAATCTGTTCTTTCTGGACATCCATACCAACACAAAAGTGATAAGGGGTGTTTTGTCACAGGTGTCACCTGACAGACACGAGCGGGTCGTAGCGCACGCTACCAAGAAAACAGACATATGCCAGACCCAATATTCCACTACCAGAAAGGAGATAATTTGCCCAGGTCCCATGCATGCAGCACTTTCATCACTATCCTCACGGGCGCCCTTTACGAGTACTCACAGATCACCGTGCTTTGCAATGACTCCAGAATTTTGGGAAACTTACTCACGCACTCTTCAAAATTTCATTCTGGCTGAACATGCGTTCTCTGTTAAGCTCATGTCTTGCTCTCGTAATCTGTGTGGTTGTCGCTGCGTCCGTTAAACTTCCTCTTGTAAAGGGTGACAGAATCATTTCGCGAGAAATTTGTAGACTTCAATGTGAAAATGATGCGACACATAGTTTGTAAACTGCCAGTGAACCAGTTCGTCTCATGCATCCCTGAATACAGTAAGATCTGTGGTTCAACTTCCTTCGTAAACTTCAATTTTCAATGTTAACATCTTCGTATAGTCTAGTATTCATCCCACCGATAGGCTCATATCAACTTAAGTTTTCCATCTAGGAACTGATCGCTATGGACTCTGTAAAGTTGACTCCTGCTTGTAAACTGTCTCAATATGTTATGTTAATTCAACATGATGTCATACTACTGTGATATTTCGCTACGCTTGGATAGTGGCCTGCACCTGTTCATTTGGTCGTCGCTAACTGCCCCCACTCTCCAGCTTTCACCTGTTCCAAATTCAATTTGGCTACTGGTATCACACGGCCTGGTGAAATGTGATTCAGAAGTGTTTCTAGAGTCGAGAAAGACGAAGACTCTTCACTAATAAATAGGAATAATGGTGTCAGACACTAGTCAAAAAGGAAGTAGAATGTTTCCGCAGTCACCTTGAAGACTCACTAATTGTATTAGGAAGCGGGGTAAGCGGAAATTTCAGCCTTGCATCTCCGGTTTATTTGCCTTCTGTTAAAGGAATATTTTTAGTTCACTCCCACAGAATTCTCTTAAGAAGTTATTTCCAAGCTGTCCAGTTAATTATTTCATTTGGAACTTCGTTCGTCAAACTCTAACGACAGATAAAACTATGCACAGAATCTTGTACCTCATACACAGCTTTCAACCGCCAACCATCAGTAACGGAGGCAGTGAAAGCAAGATATGAAGCGTCTGAACTGGATACACGTTTTCAATAGTTGAATGCTGTTTGAAAATCTTTACAAGCACTACATAATCAACCTCTCAGTGTTGTCTTCATATCCATCGCATCGTCGTTCACTGATTTGAGGAAGCAAAGGGGATTAATATATGCATATATCGATGCCGAAATGCAACAAGCAACTCGACTGAACACTGAATGTCACTGTTTTTCCACAAGCACCTTCTACTGCGCCGAGATTCGATACTGCTAAGAGTCAAGTACTGGCTGTATGAACAACTATATTAGACAAGGTTTCATCATATATACATATAAACTTATCCGATTGGCTTAATAAGGACGGAGATTCGGTGTAAAGTCAAAAGGTATCCAACAAAATTATCATTCTCATGTAACAATCTAAACCTAAAATGAGAACGCGAAATCCCCTACCTCTGCAGTCAGCGGCTTAAAGCGTTGATTCTTTATCTATGTGCCGCTTATCAATTGTGATCGGTTTTCACTTCCACTGATATTCTGTCTCCTTATTTTAGACATGTCGAAAACTGAAAAAAGTGGGACACAACTTGGAAAAAAACCCTCGGATTGTTTCTTGTGCACAAATTTACCCCCTGTGAATTTCTTTTGCAACTCAAGAAAATGTAGGTGAATTCTGTTGGATTTTTCTTCCAATGAGCTTGTATCATCAGTTTATTTTCGGAAGGCACATATAACACAATTATAATAGGCGGCTGCTTGTTTCACGGTTGCTTCTTAGGCCAAAAGATTCGCACCGAATTTCTAAACGAAGATCATTGGTGCTGATTATGCATATGGTCAAGCTCAGATGTCATTTTCTCTCCATTTACATGCTGATAGATATGCACAGTCCAAGAGTTAAAAGTCAGATAGGCTGTTAACATTTTTCCCAAAGAACCTGCGATATCCTACATATTGGTTACACTACTCTTCTTTATATTATCACAGTTTACAGGCTAAGAAGGCTCATGATCAATTCAATACTAGTGTATATCATTTCGTTCAATACTTGTCACGTGTTATGAAACAACGGTACACCAAGCCTCTACAAATAAACGAAAGTAGGATATGAACATTTGTACGAGAATTAACTTGTAGGGTATTAGTTGCGACATTCATAAAATAAAGTATACCAACCTCACTAAAGTTAATATGCCTAATCATCCTAGCAATCAGTACACTACCTGACTTGTGAGTACCCATAACAAAACACAAATCCAAATGGCCCAGTTATTATGAGATGTGCTCTGATGAGCAGTACATCTGAATACAATAGAAAGTTAAGATTATTTAGGAAAAACATTTTAGGACTTATCCAGCTACTGTGGCTGAACTATGGACTCTGAGTGTGTGCGTGCTGACAAGACAATGAGGGACAGCAAAAATGGCATCCCAATATAACCGTTAGAACAAAACTTAATACTAAAACTAGCCGTAATTTGACAGATAGAAGTTTCAAAGTTACTTAAGGTGATTACTCAACAAATTTCTTCGAGGCAGTAACCATTCAACTTGTGCATTCGTAAAGTCATTCTTAACAGTGGTAGAAAGTGTTTATTTCTTAAGGTATTGTTTAGTTTAGAAATGTCATTCCACACCTATTACTTGATCTCATTCACGGCCACCTGGTTTCAATAACTTTCAGTCATCTAGAAGTCTACATGTGCTGTCAATTGTATAAAATCTCTATTTCATGTGAAACTTTGATCGCAAACTTTTGGGACATTTGTGTGACTTTCATACGTGGATCAAAAGACTTGATAATACTCCATGTATGTATACTGTTTTTTAATTCTCCGTGTATTTGATTAGGCATCACAAATGCTCCCTATCTTCTAATTAATTAGTTAGAGTATTTCTGTTCTGATATATGAAAATAGTCTTAAGTTGCATACAGGTAACAGAAAATCACAGTATAAGCTACGGAAAAATTCAAATTCTTGCACTCGATGGTCAGCGACTGGAGTTGAACACAGTGTATCAGCCAACCGACGCTGGGCCAACATGGAGACACTTAATGCAGGCAATGACAAGGCACGTTCAGTTTTATAACTTCTATCCCCGAAGATTGATATAATATCATTCTACTCAATTGGCTGTTCAAATTTCTAAAGAAGGCGTTAGTAATATTGTCGAGTAGCCAGCTTCAATCTCTGTTTTACTAATTTCTATGTGGTTAATGTTGCATTGAATTTATGTTTATAACTATTGAATTAAACTTTTACATCACACTATGTACTGACACTCGCTTACTTTTAGAGTATTTTCAACCACATGTAATGCATAGGCGAAAGGCAATGCAAACACAAAGTGGCATTCAATAACTCTAAACGAAACACCGATCTTCATGTGCAAGTGAAAGTCAAACTTGTATCTTATGTGAAGTAAAATTGCTATAAAATTTCTGAACCATTCTATCATTTGGAAACACTGTACCTGAACATGAATACCTTAAACCCTAGAGAGAAAAGAAATGAATACTCAAGAGTTTAAACATTTCAAAACCACCACCCCCCCATATATATATATATATATACCAAAATTGTTAAGTAATTTATTTGAGAATATTTTTATATGTGAACATAAAAACAATTTCGATAAAGTTACCGAAATTGTAACCAATTCAAAAAGTGAAAACCAACACTAGTCGAACCAAATAAAATACAACTTATGAATAGAGTTTAAATACTTTACTGATTTTCTTTTCTTTTTCTTTCAACCTAGGATGGTAGGGAGAACGAACGATAAAAAAAAGATGAAAAAACGAGAAGAAAAAAATCTCTTTCCAAACGAATAAGATTTAGATAATAACATTGACAATATTTTCGTGAGTAAACGCGTAAATGAGTAGTAAAGTACTTGTTCTCCCGCTACCAATATATAAGTGATGACAACGATAATGATGAGAGTTATAATGACCAATGGAGTTACTTACTATAGCACTAGTAGTGGACAAAAGTACACATGCTTACATATACAACAACAACAAGAACAACCAAAAAATACATAATTAAGAAGGAATATAACAATAGTTAAAATACACATATATATATAAGGTGATCAGAGATACATCAAATTGTACACATAACTCCACGCATACGTAATACGACAAGAATACGATGATGACCACCATTGGAAGAAGAAGAAGAAGAACAAAAAAACGAGAAACTCATGATTTTCTTTCGTTTTTTCTAAAAAAAGGTATATTTTACTAACCGTTAACTATTTTAAAAACTACAACGACTATCAAAACAGAAAATGCTTAAAAGAGAATATACGATTGAGCACTTTTAGTAGTAGTAGTATTAGTATGATGATGGTGATGACAATGAGGAAATTAGGAATGATCACGTGTGTATGTGTATGCGTTAGACAGAGGAGAAGGCCATTGTTTTACAACACTATCATAGTTTGATAGTCGTTTTTTTTTTGATAACTCCTTCCAATGTATTGCTTTTTACACAAATAGGGCTTCAAGCTAGTGGCTTGAAGTTTCTGTAGCAGTGTATATTTTACAGGATGAGGTTGCTAGCCTCATGCCCGACCTTTCCTCTTCACCAGCATTATTTCTGGCTTAGCGAGGTAAAGGAGTGCGTCGGCCGGGAATCGAACCCCGGACCATGTGCATGGTAGGCGAGCGCCACCGACGCACTTTTACACAAATAAGTAACATATATTTACTAAACGCATAATGAATACATGAGAGTAGAGTAAAAACAAGAGGAAAAAGTAGAGCTGAAGATGCAAGAAGGGAGAAAGAAACGTTGATTTAGAAAATGTGTAAATATAGCCCATGAATAGGAAAATATGGCAAGTTCATTTGTGTTCAAAAAGGATAAGTACATAGGTGAGACAAACAAACGAATAGTTCGAATATATAAGTATGTAAAAGTAATTAATACGAAAAACAATGAAAACGATAACGACAACGACGACAAACAATAACAACAACAGTAATTGCAAGAGAAAAGAAAAGTTATAGACAGAAAAAACAAATCAATGGATAAGGGAATGGAGCAATAAACACAACGATAACAACAACAAAAAAGAAGGAAGAAGACTATGCCGTTCTCTTCAAATCAGCTGTTTGTATACCAGCAAGTATACGCTGCCATAAAGCTGGACTACACTTTTGATGACGACGAATACGAGTGAGTAAATTATTCCAATGTAGTCCACAATCAATAGCCGGCATACTTAAATGAACATTATATGCTTTTAAAACAAGATCAACGAATTCATCCCATTCGGCTTGACTTTGTCCAATAAACTGAAGTCTTTGACCAATGTACTTTTGAAATCTGTGTTAAAAGGAATCAACAGTAATAATACTGAGAATATATAATTGTCTATAATAAGCGGGTTGTAATCAACCACACGATATTGTGAGAAATAATTTCAACTAGAAGATCAATGGTTCGAACTCTATATCACTGTCAAATGCATGCACAGCTTGTCGTTCACTAAAATTTCACTTCACATCTCCTTTGTATCATCCCTACAGGAATTCAATTTAATTAAGACTAGACGCATATTACATTGCATCACCATTAAAACAAATGCCTAGGCGCATATGGCGATTTTTTTTGACTGAAAATAAGGTTTGACATTCACTGACACGGCATTATGATGACGCTATGTGTGTTTAAATAGACAGTTTTAAAAGAATTCATGCAAAATATACCATGTCTACCTTTTAGAATCACATCAAGAAAATAAAAGATGTAATGTAACTTTATCGACTACATAAACCCCGAAATATTACAAGTTTATACAAATCCCCCATAGGTATGAATAAACGCAGTCCGAAGACTCCCTACTTTATTCATTTCTCCATTGTATATAGTCCATATATGAGCAAGATCGATGACAGATTGATACAATACTGCTTCACACTATTGTTTAATCAATTTTTTTTTAAAAACTGGACTAACTTAGGACTCAGTTTATTCAGAAACGATTTTTCTCATGTTACAGGCTATGTATGGATCCACACTTATTGTATTATGAAGGATGGTGACACTCTACCACCAAATCACTCAGACTGACATACATGTAGGTGGTGGAATGAATCTCGAATCCTTGATACCACCACCAATGGTTGAGAATCATGTGCTAAAGGTACAACACTTGCAGGTGGTTATAAATATGTGTGATTGCCTGATCATAGGAAAACGCGAATAAAAAATATACAATATATAGAAAATAAGTTATTCAGGAAACACATAAACACATAGAAGAAATATTACAGAATAATACATACAGCTATCCCAAGGCAATACTACTTAGTTTACACTTCAAAAATCGATAAAAACACCAAATGACCAGGTAGATAAGATTATATTCATATTTATTTACAACACATACACCGAAGATTAGTAGTTATATAAACACACGGTGTTAGTTCTCGTGACAATATGTGTGTATATACATAAAATAAGCAAGTGAATGAGTTCGTCTCATAAAATCACCGATTAACTGATATCGACAGGAAACTTTTAGCGCCATTTATAGTTTAATAATCAAAAAGAGAATAAATAAATAAATACGGAACTGACTGAAATGGCTTTTTCTTCATAACTCTACTACAAAGTTTTGGAGTTCATCAATATAAAACGTCGAAATCACTTGTTTCTTTATTATTCCTTAGTGTTCCTAGTGGAACATAGGGTGGCTTCAATCAGTGAAGTTGTTATTTTAAAGGGGTGGGGTCACGCCCAACCTATCTTGGTTACTGGGCTTACTACTAACTATTGGGCTACGCGAGGTTCACGAGTACATCGACCGACGACGTGTGTGGTTGGTCGGCATTCTTCCATTGAACCACGGACGCGGTTAGCCTGGTTTATTATTTAAAGACAGAAGAAGAGCACGAAGAATGATGCATTTCTTGTTACTTAAATTCAGTGTAAATAGCAAACAAATTCTCGAAAATAGCATGATGATATATGTTACTGATTGATATGAGTAGGTGAAAACCAATCAGAACAACTAATGGTTCTTGCTAGCCAAATCGAAGCGATCTAAATACTGGACGGTTAAAGTGTTTGTTTACGGTTGATTTCGTCAGCAGTTGTATCCGATTACACTCAGTTTAGACAGCCGAATCAATTCGGATAACTAGAATTCTGGTCAACCAAGCTACTTTTAGAAAATAGCAATTATATTCTATCTACTATATTAAAAAAGCATAAATATATAAATCATGTGTAAACAACTGTCTTCCAGTGATATACATATTTTTCCATCATGTTTTATTCAATTTACATTCAGAAAAATATAATTATTACCTACTGTGTTTCTAAATTGGTAAACATCATCACCTGGATGAAATTCACTATAGTAACACCAGTACTTAATTTGCTGCTTGGGAGTGGAATTTTAAGAGAGACATAGAGATGGAAGGGGGAAATAGTAACTTTTAAAATGCATACACACCAGAAACATGGAAACATATTTAAATTATAATTAATTTGTAACAATGTTATGTATCATGACTACTGTTGAAATTCTTACGTTATTTTGCCGGCAAATGTCTCTACTTATATGTGTATTATAACAAAGATTTGAATTGTAAATTTTAGTTACTGAAATAAGCCTTTGTTTCATTTAAGAGAAACTTGTATAACAGACACACTCACACATACACACACAGAGTTATATATTATGTATAATCACATTCCCATCCATAAATCATATGTGTACAGCAGAAATCCTATTTGAGAACTGATTAGGTTTCATTGAGGAAAAAAAGGAAATCATTGCAAGCGATGTAATTCAACTCATAGAAATGTGAATAATCCACTTTCTTCACTTTTAAAGAACTTCGAAATAGCTAATCGTCTTTATTATCTCCTCAGTTTGAGAATTTCCTACATTGCATATAACATATAAGTATCTGCTGGGGTAATTCCTCGGAATTATTTGTTAAATACATAGAAGAGCAAAGTTGAAGAGTGTTAGAGTGAAAGTGAAAGTTTAATTGGAACTGGAAACTCGAGGTTTTAAGCAAATTTATTTGTAGAAGATAGAAACCCACTTATCATCAAAACTCTTTCTAATCTAATTTAATAAATCCTACTTCATTACATCAACAATAAAAAAAGACAGAAATGATGATCACAAAGGAATTCTTTGTTGAGATACGGTTAGGAATTCACAAGTTTGATTCTAAGTTGAAAGTTGATGGTGTCATTGTTAGAACTCATTCATTATCCAGGCCAATTTTCTATTTTTTTTTATCGAAATATAAGCCACACTTGTTGTGAGATTCCCAGTCGCCAAAGCTGAAGCAGTCGGAGTAGAACTGGAACCCGAAACTTTCAACCTATAGCATGTCGCAGAACTCAAACTGAACTTCACATATCTTGAGTGAAAATACAGCCAGTGAACGTAATTGTTTCAATTATTTTAATTGAGTGCCGGGTATATTATCACTAAAAGCAGTAACAATTATGTTGATTGGTGGCCATTAAGAGTTTATAAAACAGTCGTGCCACAGATTAACTAGCACCAATCACAGCGGTGTTGACAAACAGACAATATTAGACATTTTGTGTCAATCTACGTCTTGAGCTCGTCAACGAGAATTAATTAATTAAAACTCTATGAAATATAAAGGTGTGTACAATGAAGTTTCACTCTAGTATGCATTTATGAGTGCTTTCCCCAAGAAAAATCACATTTGTTATGCAAGAAGCTATATGATGTTTAATAATCTTGTAGATGATAGCAACTTGTAAACAATGTCTCTTGAAAATAAAGTTATTATACTTTTAGGGAAAAATTAGTCAAAACAATAACTTACAAAGTATGCGTTTGGTTGATTAACATCTCTACAACATCTCTACCAGTAAATTCATTTGCATTCGGCTTTGTTTGTTCATCAGTCCCAGTGTAATTAGTATGAGATGAAGTGGTTGCAGCCGGTGGTGTAACTGAATTCGTGTATGCATAATTTTGAAGGAAAGGACGAATGTATGGTTGTGCATTCATTTGCCATTGTATTGGTGTTTGATAAGGTGGTCGATTTAATGGATGCCCTAAATTATTTGGTTTGTTAGAATTGATATAAGAATTAGAATTTATATTTAGTTCAGAATTTAAATTCATTTGTTGAAATTGACAAATATTTTCTTGTAACTGATTTGAATATAAATTTTGTTGTAATACAGGGTAATTCATAGGTCCAGTGGAATGTGACCACGGTATATTTGACGGGTGAATCGAAGGTGGTAAGAATGAGTGGTAATTAAATGAGGAAGCCATGTTGTTTGGATCTGAATGAGAATAAGGTACAGGCATAATTGGAATAAAATCCTGTGGATTCTGAACATTTGTATTTATTGGCCAGTTGGATGTAGTCATAGACGGCAGTGTTGTCCACAACTGATTGGGCATATGAGAATGATCGGCAAAATTTCGAGATGTATTTGGACAAAAGTTAATATTTTTATCAGCAGTCTCAGAAATAACTTCGTTGGATGACTGAATACCAAAATAGTTCTGTTGGTCAAATGATGGATTTGTAATAGGAGCATTACTGACACAACTGTTACCAACACTGGGACCGCCACCACCACAAACTGTACCAGTAGTAGTGGATGTGTTCTCCTTCATACGTTTCTCATAATAGTCAATAACTCTAGCGGTTATTTGTTCCATTAATAATGGACAGGTGACACACTGTAAAACTAAATTGCAGTATTCATTTACAGCCATAGGACCTAAACTACTGGCTACCTACAAAAATATTTTCAAAAAAAGCAGAAGAATACCATATCAATATTACTGGAGATGTACATAATTTACAAAACGTACAACAGCGAGACAAACTTTCACTGTTAACTATAAGAATACCAGCAGAACATGTTTATTATAATTATTTTTATTTTATTCCTTTGCATTTCCAGTGGAACATAAGTCTTCAAACTAGTGCTTTTTGAAGTTTCTGTAGTAGCGGTTTTGTTTTTACAGGATGGGGTTGCTAGCCTCATACCCAACCTTTCTTCTTTGCAGGACTCATTACCAGCTACGCGAGGTTTAGGAGTGCGTCGACCAGGGATCGAACTCCGGACCACGTGAGCGGCTGGCAAGCATTCTACCTCTGCACCCCACGTTACCGCTTAATAAATGAATATGGACTTTGAATTTTACGGTCTATGCTAATATAATTTATTATAAAAATGAATTGATAAACCATAAATCATAACAAGAGTATCATATACACATATATTCGGCGATTTTTTTTCCTTCGCGTTCCCATTGGAACACAGGGCTTCAAGCTAGAGGCTTGAAGTTTCTGTAGCAGTGTTTACTTTTACAGGATGGGGTTGCTAGCCTCATGCCCAACCTTTCATCTTTACTGGCTTTTTATTACTGGTTTAGCGAGGTAAAGGAGTGCGTCGGTGGCCGGGGATCGAACCCCGGACCATGTGCATGGTCGGCGAGCGTCCTAACCACTATGCCACCGACGCAAATTCGGCGATTAGCCATTCCTATATTTTGTGAGATCACATGATGCAGCCTAGCTGACTGAACTTCCGTAATTCAAACAGAGCGTCAATCTATGCTTCACACTGCTTAAACCAATGAACACTATATATAATGTGGATGATACATGCGTCAACAACTGACAAACAGAAGGTTTCAAAATGAATCTCTGCTGTAACCACTACTACTCTGTATTTAGGTGACAACAGATAGTATTACTATATAAAATCTGACTTGTTCAGTCTAATTTATAACCTAATGAAAATCAAAAGTAACTTGTTGAAATTTAGATATGTCAGTAAATATATTTATGTGTATTAAAGGGAAAGATTAATTGTTTAATCTATTATTATTATTTTAGGCATAATTTTTGAAAACTGATTAACCCTTTTTAGATGAATCAGTATTTGTGTTATTACCTATTATATTCTTATCTTTCTTCTCCTTCCATTTTCTGTTTAATATCACTTTAATTTTCTTTTCATTTTCTAAAAAACCATTTTGAGGTTTAAAAGAAATAATTTCAAGCCTTAGAATTTTTTTTTAAAAAAGCACCATATAAACACTTTGTGTACAAATATATATATATATATATAAACTAAAATTAATTAAAATGGAGAGAAGACGATAAAATAAAATCATGCATATATATATATATATACATCCAGTATGCACAATAATATTCAAAACTTTGAAAATAATACGGATAATCTTGCTTACATCTAAAGTCCATAGGATATGTGAATCACACGATTTTGAAGTGGTCGAATTAGTCAGATTAAAATATGCACTAACACTTGATGGTACTTTGATTTGATTCGATCCACACGATGAAGATACACTAGGCATAAAATACCATGATGATGAATTCTCTGATGATATACAATTAGTTGAATTAACTTCATCATTGATTAGATTACTACGAATATTGTTTGCTACTGATAAACCATTATTATTATTATTATTATTACTATTATGATTATTACCATTATTGTTATGAGAAGAAGAAGAAGACGGAGCATCATTTTGTGTTGCATAACGCCGTTGAAAATGATGCGGTACATTACCACGATGATTTTGTTGCATATGATAGTAATGCTTTCCACGCATATTCTTTGATGGCATTGAAACAACAATAGTATTATTTTGACGATTGAAATTTGTACTGGTGCCAGACTATGTTGAACAAAAAGAAAATTACAATGAAGTAATTAAGGCAAAAAACAAACAAACAAACAAACAACTAATGTAAGTATCTAATCAACAGAAGAGTAACAATGACTTTCGGAATGTGGAGGATGGTACGAAGTGAACAGTTTTGAACTATGTCACCAAGAGTTTCCAACCAGTGATTATTAACATTTCAATGATCCAGTTAGGCGGTTTACATCTTCTTCAATCCATAGTCAATGACTTCATGAATTAATGGTAAGTTTTGCTTCTTATTCCAACCTTATCCTACTTCGGATAACATCCCCCACATGAGGAAGACAGTAACTTGTCTTGTGTAACATGTCAAAGATTTATAACCCCGTCTATCAACTTGTCCATATTGTCTAGCACTCGTTTCCCAACCCCATTCTTACATATCACATTACACCACGAAATACAGATGAGTGAAAGAAAGCACCAATGATGAAGATCTACTAACCTCTCTTTTACTTCCATGTCTCACATATATTAGGCAGGTTGGAACCAATTTGACGCATAGCTCACCTATAATCCTCCATAAGTGACCTGATTCACAGACTCTAGTCTTTCCCTTGAAATGCTCTCACTTAGTCATGCATCCATAAACTCAACCTGGAAAGTCCCATTATCCACCTTCACGTAATTGAGGGTGTTCTAACAAAAGTGAACAGATGAGTACGAATGTTCGAGGAGCTGAACTGGTGTACATAGGAGTTCACCTAGAGAATGTGGAGAACCCTGATTTCAAACTTATGGTGTACATAGGCTTCAGGATCCTGAAGGGATAAACCTGTTTTAGTCACTGACAACTATGAGAATGCAGTTCCAATAACTCGTGGAGTGGTCACTTAAGACAACCACCGTCTGCTTCACCTTCGGCGCCTGGGCATTATTTCAGCCTCCATACAAATCATGGAAAAAGAATCAATGGAAAAGAAGCCAAACAACTAGCCTAAATCCTCGGTTAACAATTCATCGTCAAGTACGAATTCAACGACCAATATACACTAGTGTGAGAACTTAGGGAAATCAATTTCAAGCTTTGCTATTACTACTAATGATAATAATAATAATAATCATAAGGCAGAAGTAGGTTAAAAATGAAGACTAAAGTTTACTCACAATACGAGTTCATCAAGATTATCCTCAAAAATATTCATTAATAAAATAAAATAAATAATTGAAACTCACTTGATTAACAGACATTTTCTTAATAGCACATTTTGCACAAAAGAATGCTTTAACCAAATATGTTTGTGCTTTCACCTCCAACGCTTGTAATTCACTTAGCGTAGATTTTACTGATGTATTAGATAATTTTTCTTTATTATTTAAAGATGCTTCATTAGAACCATTACTGTTATTAGAATTAGGATTGTTTTCATCACCTAATCCATCAGCTATTGATTCAGTTAAACGACATGAATCCCCTTCGGATAAAATAGATCCTTGATCAGACATTGATGGATGTACTACAATTGAACTAGACGCAGTACTCGATGTAGTCAATTGACATGTTGATGTCAGTGCCGATGAAATGACTGATGAAAGTGAGTTTCCTGATATCACTGTAGCGTCAGTTATTGCATTAAGATTTAATGTATTAATACAACCATTGTTATTGTAATTGTTTATAGAGGAAGACGATAAAGGTGTGATAGACTCCACAGACTGTTGATGTTGTTGTTGTTGCTGAGGTGGATTACTTAAAACATTACAAACCATTGTAGGATGAATATTTGGTATAACCATTGTAGGATTGTAGGCATATACTGATGGATCAATTACTTGGTCAGTTGGATATGTTTGATATGAATTGCATGCTTAAAAAAAATGAAAAATAATAATAATAATAATAATAATAATAATAATAATAATCCAATAGTTCGATATATATATATACAAAGAGAGAGACATTTCACTTACGTAAAATGTTATTTGAAATCGTAGGAGATAGTGAACTAGAAGGATTAATTTGATGTGCAATAGTAACGAATGGACTGCTTTGAATTAAATTTGCAGATTGAGATGATGGTGATGTCGGATGATTAGCGTTTGGAATAAACTGCGGGTGAAGGAAATAATTACCTGGTAGTTTCTGTACAGGCACAGATGCCAGATTGTTACCCAATGGTGTTGCCTGAGGCATAGACGGTATTCCAAAGGGGTACGATGTATTCGGCTGTAAAATAATCAAATAAATACACACAATTGTATTACTGAATTTAAAAAGGAAGTTGACTAATTTTCATTCAAATAATAGTCATGACACATATGAATAACAGTTACCAATGCTAAACAGCTAGTGTCAACAGTGGTTTTGAGTGATACGATGAGATTCCAGGTAGATTCGTCCAAGAGCAATTCAACAACAGGCATTTGAAAACCAACTGAACAAGCATCTGAAGGAGTCTTTTAGGAAAACACTAGTTGACCAGAACTATAATGACTTCAGGCCAAGAGGTTCAAGCACACCGTTCACGTATGATTTTCGTTACCAATAATGTCAATGTCAAAATCACCATGTCATAAACTGAGTCGATGACTAGCACAAAAATTAGAGGTCATCCAAAAAGTAGCAAATTACAGGTTCGAAAATTCTTTTTAATTTTGTCTTGAACCACAGAAGCCTGTCTTTCGAGCATTTCAAACAAACGTTTAGTTTCAAATAATGAGTATTCGTTGTTTACGAACAAACGATAGAAACAAACAGAAACTAAATGCCAATAGTCGGAAACGTGCTCTCTTCCTGGTAACTAATTGAAAATGAATTGTACTTCTTTTTTCTTGCTAGGAAGCGAAATCAAGTTGGAGAGATAACATTCTATTAGATATTGACTTCAAAAATTCTGACACAAAAAGACTACAGGCTCGACCACGGGTTGATATCAGTTAGAGAACTATTGGAAGAAAAAAACGCACGGGGTACTGTACAGCTGTTTCGTCCGAGTTTGGGACTCATAGACAGTACGCAGCTACTGGAGTTCGAACTTGAGACCTTCCGGTTACAAGACAAGCTCGTAGACCATTTAGCCACTGGGACCTGATTCGGCCATTGAATTTCAACTTCCAACAATGAGTGATTTTAGCGCAACTACCAACCAATGTTATTGGCAAGTACTTGTCATCACGCCCAACCGGGTTGGCGGTCTTCATGCTAACAGTCACCATAATAAAACCCTTAACTCTTAAACTTATAACCAATCAAATCCAGACAAACCAACACTAGAACATTTCTAATTTATTTGTGAATAAATATTAATCCTAAAGTATTTAGCATCAATAAATAGTTGTTGAATGCATTGGAAGTCTTTTAGACAACTGTATGTGTGTTGTCACAGTCACTAACCTAACAAAACTTTGCTAGCGAAGTACATCAAATGAAAGTCCAGAAGCACTATTATGAAATAAGATTACATAATCTGTTCTATCCCACATAGGCATCGAACTCCACATGACGTACTCCTAAACCTGGCTTAGCCGATAGTAAATCCAGCAAAGACGGAAGGTTGGGTATGAGGCTAGCAACTTCACCCCGTAAAGAATAAACACTGCTACTGAAACTTCAAGGCTCACGCTTGAAACCTTGTGTTCCACTTGGAACGCAAAGGAATAATAGTGATAAGAATCCTGTAGAGTAACTTGATATGATTATGAGTAATAGTTTTTGTTCGAAACATAGTCATCAGTTAATATTACTGTATAACACTGTGTGGTTTATCAAAATAAAATCTTATCCATAATGGAGTTATACTCTACCACAGTGGCCAAGTTTTATACTCGCATAGGAAATATAGGTTTAAATCGAATACTTATGTCAATCAGGTGACTGTGATGATCACTATAAAGGAATCAACTACACCTACAGTAATAACAACATTAATTACAAATAACTTACTGATGATACTAATTGTGTTTGAGGTAAATAACACGGTACATGATGCGTAGATTGCAATTGTGGCTGTGAATTATTCGCATTTAATAAGTTGTTCGTTTGCTGTTGTTGTTGTTGTGTTTGCGGTTGAGATGGTGGTTGTGTTTGCTGTAAGTTAAACATGTTTAGATAGTACGGAAAAGGAGGGAACTGTGGTGTTGGTGGTTGTTGTTGTTGTTGGGGCTGTTGCCGAAGTGAGAAGCTGGAATAGTTTGGATGGATAGGGTATACTGAGGGTGGATACATAAATGGTTGCTGTTGCTGCTGTTGTTGTTGTTGTTGATGATGATCTGGTCGTAAAATTGGTGGTTGAAATAAGTTAACTGATTGATAATAATTCCATGCATTGGTTAAATCACTGTTTAATGAATTACTATTACCCACACTACCCATATCAGTTGAACCACATAATGGTGGCAGTTGTACACCGGAAGTATTATTAGTATTAATATTATTATCAGTATTATTATTATTTATTTCACGAACAGGGATAGCTGAATTACTTAATGAAACATTACCTTCAGATAAAAGTGTGTTGCAAGTAGAATTTCCTGTGATTGTAGCAGCAGCAGCAACAACAGCAGTATTAGTATTAGTAGTAGTAATTGTAGTATTACAAGAAAGTGGAGGTGTATTATTAGTTAGTGTAGACGTTATAATTGAATTACCTTCACTTGCAATCTTTGATAATAATTGTTGATTTAAATTCATGCTATCTAGTGAATTCAATGCTTGTTCATGTTCCTTTGTGACAGAATGATATAAAGAGAACCAACTTCTTGCTAAAAAGAAATAGATTTCTGGTAGAGTACCATGAGAGGATTGATGTACACTTTTTTCAGTACATAAGAGACCACGTTCAAGTGTCATACTTGAATGTTCACCGCATTGTTCTAATGCTCGATATAATTCTTGTGGTCTCAATACATTACATAGTGATAAACTTGCAAGGCAAAGTTCTGCGGCGATATCAACAAGCTATAAAATAAACAAAAACAAAATTGAAAGAAGATAATAAAACTGTGTGATGAGAATATATATTCATGAATAAAGACAACGACACTGTCTAGTGGTAGAAAACAAATCATTTAAAAATGAGTAAAAGTTGTTCAAAAGAAGAAATTCCTAACATTGCATAAAAAGTAGAAGAGATACTAAAGCGTTAAGTTTGTACCAATACCGAAACTACATACACATTACATTGGTTACTACCTAGTGACCAATCAACTGTGTCAAATTTACTCCTACAGGAGGTCAATCACGAGTCCAAATAAATCAGTGGTGACATCGGTGATTGCAGCAATTGGTGATTTTTTTTATTCCTTGACGTTCCCAGTGGAACATAGGGCTTCAAGTTTCAGTAGCAGTGGTGTTTATTTTTACGGCATGGGGTTGTTAGCCTCATGCCCAACCTTCCCTCTTTACCAGTCTTATTACTGGCTTAGCGAGGTAAGGGAGTGCGTCGGCCCAGGATCGAACCCCGGACCACCTGCGTGGTTGGCGAGCATTCTACCGCTGTGCCACCGACGCACAGCACTTGGTGATGCGGGTTCAAATCTCAAAGGGTCATGAGTTCTTTGAAGATTGCAGTGCCAACAAGCACGAAAACCAAGTCCAGGACTTCCTGCTGATTGCTTCCAAACGTCGTATAACAAAAATTTGGAGTACACTGAGATGGTGAGCCACTTAGCTTGGTAGCCGAATTGCAAACTTGACTGGTAGAGTTCAGTCTGCACACATGACATTGGTTACACCCTAGCGACAAATCAATGTGAGCAAGTACACGTTAGACAATATACATTGGAAAAGACATAAACTGATTATTCATTGATCCAAAATTGATTTACTAATGGCACCTCCATTTCTTTTCAAAACGGATAACAATGTCAGTCGTAATGACAAATCGCGACTATGAAAGCTTTCATCAGTAATCGTCATTTGATGATTAGTCTGTTCACGATACACCCAGGTCCGTTTGTTTACTGTATACACCGTCATGTTTCTTTTCCCACTAAAAAAAAACAAGTATATCTCTTTGACACGTAACAACGAGCATATGTAGATACGTGTTTGTTCTACACGCCGATTCATCAGTCAGTCTGTTAGTGACAAAGCCATAAATGAAATTCTTTTAAGCGAATAACACTTTTATGTGAATCTGATAACAAAAAATCAGAACAAAATCAAGTACATCTATAGTAACAAGTATATATCGTAATTATTTCTGAATAACACGCATGAAAAAATTGATTTGAGCCACTTTACTATAATCTCTTTTCTTAACAGAGAACAGAAAATAACACTGACGGATATATTTTCATCACTGTTAACATTTACAACATTTATTCATCAACATAAAACAACGAAATTTACTGAGCATAATTTAACAAGAAGGAAATAAATCACAAAAAAAATACCCTGTCTGCCTATCTACTTCTTCTCTGAATTGTTTAAGTTTCTGTTTAAATTTTCATGTAGAAGTCAATTAGATTGTAGTGATTGTTTTATAGAAAATAATCAATCGACTGAATAGTGAGACTAATAACAGTATCAAATAGAAGGCGCCTTCTCATTTGAATAAATCTCAGCATATTTTTCTAACGTTCATTCATTCATTTATTCATTTAATCGTTTATTGTAACAGTGAGATTTTTTTAAATTTCACGATGGATTTTATGACAAACCAACTAACGTCAATTTGGGGGGGGGGGGGGAATCATAAAACAATTAAGGAGCACTAGACAGTTGTTTCAACTTACTTTTATGCATCTTACTTTCATGCATCAGTCCACCTAAGATTACACACAACAATTGAGACATATCATAAAATTTACGATAAAGTGCTGTTACAAGCTTTAAGTGGAAGTAAGTTAAAATAGAACACGCACTTGGAACAATACTTTTATGCCATAATCAAACCAATTCACTCTGTCCTCTTCTATAGCTGTGAGACATGGTCGATGAAAGTCGAAAACACGAAAAGGCTAGCTGTCTTTGATTACAGATGTCTCGGTTGTTTCTCTCATCTTACGTGGTATAATAGGAGGAATAATATTGAGGTCCAGCATCGAGTGTTACGTAAGAAGATGAAATCAATCGATCAGGTTGTGAAGCTACATCTATTGAGATGGCTGCGACATGTGCTACGCATCCCTAGCCATCAACTACCTCAACATCTAATCTTAGCTGACATACAATCAGACTGGAAAAGACCAAGTGATAGTCACACCAAAAAATGGAATCAGTCAATCAAATCGTTGACAGTTAGTTTTGAACCAAGTAGGGAGGTATAGACTAACTGCCTGGTTGGGGTCCTTGGGATCCTAAGAACCAATGAAGGCTGCAGATAATTGGTGATATGGCTCAAACTCATTGTTGTCAGTAGCGTAGATCCATTCACTCTTTGTGATCTACCACGTTCAATAAGACCCTACTGTTTTTCCATGTTACTCCTCTTTCTCCCTCACATTTCTTATGAATCTCTTTTTTCACTGTTTTGTGTGTGCTTTATGGGTTATGGCAACCTGAACTGTTGCACTTCTGTGCAATGTTGTATATTGAAACCAGTCAGTCAGGTTCAATAAATGATTGATATTAGAATAGTTTTATTACAAAAAGTGCCCTTGATAGGACACTTCAAAAAATGCTAATAAGCAAAAGATCAACTCGAAGCTTCCGTTGTCTTTCCAGAGTTCGTGGTGAGAAAATATAACCACCAACAGGTAAAACGTAGATTTCAGTGATTCATAGTTGCTAACTTCATTTAAAACAATTCCAAGTTAGTGTTTCTGCTGTTAATCAGTAGATATTTGCACTCTACTAAGTTTGCCTTACTGATTTTATTAAAATTTCGGAAAATTCATTTAACAGGAAATCACTAATAATGAACATCATGTTATACAAGCATCTGTCAGAAATGACAACTAGTGTAGCAGTCTAATGCTAATTAGCCTCAATATGTGAGGCGGTGAAGTCTTCCGCTTCTGCGCTACGGAGAAGAGCTCTTTAATAGAGTTGCAAAGACGCTTTGTTGATGAGGATATTAGCAAGCAACCTCTTTATCGACTGGTACCTTTTAACAGCAAACCAAAGATGTGGGTCATTGACTTAAGATCCCAAATTTAAGTCAATGAGCTTCTGGTCTGAATCGCGTTACACGTTATCCAGCTTGAGTAACTGGGTATCGTTATCATGTATCAGCCTAGTAAGTAGATTTAAATCGCTGGAATACATTTATTTCAACGAGGTTTCAGTTAGAAACTATGGAATAAGCTGTCTGTACGGCTAATATCCACAATGCATATTTGCCTCATTTTTGAAAACGTCTTCACATATAAATAAATAAGCATTCAAATGTTTAGGCTGGTTAAAGTCAAATATCTGTGAGCAAATTAAATAAGCGCCACCATGGACATTAAACAGAATAAAGTTTATTCTTACCAAACGATTATTTTCTCTTGATAACTGGAATGAAATAGCAGCAAGCTCTGAAGCTGTAAGATGTTGTTGCCAAGAATGATATAAAATACAAGCAGCCGGTATACCGATTTCAAATACTTGTTGACTAATCCATCCACCATTTCTTGAAAATGTACGATTTTGCCATGAAGGTAGAAGACCATTGAAAAGTCCCAAACCATAAAGTCCCAACTAAAGAGGTGTGAAAAAAATACAAGTATGAATGCATATTCTCCAACTGAAATCCATCATAATACTAACATTTGGATATTCTAAGTGATATGACTGAAAGTGGACTGTAGTAGTTGGTAGCAGATATGCTCTCACAGTGTATGACAACTCGAACTGTAAGTTAATAAGTCACTCAGATTATGTTTGCAGAAATCTCTCATTTCACCTCACTGCATACATTCAATTATTCATTGTACATTTCATAGAAAATACTGTGATATTTTTTTTTCCTTCACGTTCCCCAGTGGAACATAGGGCTTCAAGCTAAAGGCTTGAAGTTTCTGTAGCAGTGTTTACTTTTACAGGATGAGGTTGCTAGCCTCATGCCCAACCTTTCATCTTTACTGGCTTTTTATTACTGGTTTAGCGAGGTAAAGGAGTGCGTCGGTGACCGGGGATTGAACCCCGGACCATTTGCATGGTCGGCGAGCGTCCTAACCGCTATGCCACCGACGCACCATACTGTGATATAGTACTATCTATTCCATTCGACAAATAATGCGGAATGGAACACCGTATCAAATAAACAAACTAAAATGAAACCACACCCACCATCACAATGTTCAATTCCTGTTAATTTATTAGTTTCACTGTACAGCTTCCATCTTACCTTACTCAATTTCATTCACATTCTTTTTAATATATTTATTTCAATCGAAAGAGTTGTTCGTTTTCCCCACAACATTACCCCTCTGTTTCTTCCAGCCTATCGTTCTTACTATCTTTCTCTACTGATATCAGCTGGTGACAACTTAGATTGGCAAATATCTGAACCAATCTTATTTCGTTTCTATCAATTATACAACCGATATGTATGTTTTTTTATTATAGCTTGATTCCACACCGTAGTTTTGATACAAGTATGGGATTTTCAGCATGTGATATCGGTAGTCCAAATTTCACAGGTCGACCATTGGTATCAGGTGTGCATCGGTAGGGGATCGAATCCCGACCCATGTGCATGGTTTTATTACATATATAATAAAATCTGGACGGGATTTAGTAGTGGATAAATATTACAAAAGCATACTATGATGAAATTAAATACTATAGGGTCCAGTGTGAGGACAAATAAAAGCCAATGACACTGGCTACTGGTAGAGCTATAAATCGCTTTTAACTGACAGAAGTCAGAATTCATGGGCTATTGGATGCCATCGCAGGGACTGGACAGTCAATGAGTTCGTCTGGTGATCTGAACTTGCTGGGTCCTATCCTCGCTGTAGTCACGTGAGTTTATTGCTAAAGAGTCCCAAAATGTCCAATACTCCCTGGTTTTCAATACTTCTCCCCAAATGATATCAATCCGTTATCCAACTTGAAACTAAACATATCTCAGTAAACTACAGTTTGATGAAATTACTAAATATTAATTATAATGCATTGTACACTATAATGTCTGTGCTCCAAACAACGACTAAAACTACAGAATGATAGCTTTGATGAACAGTTACGCTGTATTACATTTTCATGGTCACAGAGAAACTTAAACAGGTGAATTCTTTTCTTTTTTTAAAAAGACTTTCTTCCGGTACAGGAGATTTAACTTTAAAAATAATACAAATAATATCTATTAATAGATTTTAATTTTAATTGCGAAATTGATAAAGGATGTCAAAACTACTACATATTTACTTCAACGTTGTTGCTGCCCTGTAAGCGATTAGACAATCACTAAAAATCAAACATTGAGAATTTACTTTATCTAAGTAGGAGATCCTTCAGCAGTATTCACAAAGTGACCATTACAAGGCATACAAAGCTGTACGACAGTAAAACTTTTTAGTGAAAATGCTGCTTCTCAGTCATTGGATGGTACTGTACATGAGCTTGGAATTCAAAGGGGACTTAGCTTCCGATATCATGAAAAGAAGGATATCACAGTCTCTGAAAAGAACATTCCCTGCTGCATCTCTGAGAATAGCCTTTACTGGTCGACCATTACTGTTCAATAACCTGAAGGACAAGATCCCGCTGTTGACCAACTCTATGTGTGTTTATCAATTCACCTGCTCGTGTGGAGCTAGATATATCGGTCGTTCCACTCGAGTTTTGTCCAGGAGGGCGCAAGAACACTCTCCTTCATGGTTACGAAGAGGTGGAAGTGGAGCATTAAGAAGCGCGATCATTGAACATCTGGTCGATAATGATCACCCTATCGCTATAGCCTCCGCCTTTAAAGTCATCTACAAGGCGGAAAGTAATTTACCCAAATCACTAAGTACCCAACTCATCTGTATTGCTAAAGCTTTGGCTATCGAAAAAGAAAAGCCAGATCTCTGTGTACTGCTGCTGCTGCTGCTGGATTCAACATAGAACTCTGTGTACAGAAAAAGTTCGTTCAACCCTCCAACTTTCATGGTCTTAATCCCTCTATGCTAAAGTATAGTAATCCCCAATCATATTTTGGCTCTACCAATTTTGTTCATTTTTTCATTTTGTCTATTCAATTTGTATATTCTTCCTTTATTACAATGTCAATTGTTACTACTATTACTATCTTCACTTTGAACTGTCCCCGGTATTATTTCACTTGTTCCATTTGTCATTCTAAATCAATTCTTCTTTTTTACAACGTTAAATTCTATGCTATCAAATTTCACACAATATTACGTAACGTTTTTATTTTATTCGATTTGTCTACTAATCTTATAATTGCACACCTTTTTCAAGTTCTATCCATCCTATGAATTATTCTATATATGACATTAATTTGCTTTGCACTTGACATTTAACTACGATTATAATCACAAACATTTTAGTTTTAATTGCATTTCATATTATTATTATTTTATGCATTCACACCTATGTTTCAATTCCCTCACCGGATATAACTTCTTAAAAACCATATATATACGATTGTACAGCTTGATGATAAATTCGTTGAAAAGAGTCTCTTCGCTGAATCATGTGTTTTGATTTTCTATATGTTACAATGGGAATTTTCCATGGGGTAATTCAATCGTCAATATTTTTAAAAATTTAGACCATATCGCAAGATGGCGGTGGTGGAGTTATAAATCATGGACTGTTAGATTTCAACCCAGAAAAGCTGAATAGTAATATGACAACAGCTCATTTGACCTGTTACATTATCATAAATGAGAAACACTGATTAGTCACAAAAGAGGACGAAACAGACTCCCAGAAAATCCTAATGATTCGATAAATGATGCTTGCATGTAACGAATTCTATCAAATTTCAAAACTTCACTCTTGAAACAAGACTGTAAATATTGTCAATAACAATTTTTCTTTTTAAATGAATGAAACTAACCTGGAAAGAAACCAATTGAAGATTACGATGCACAGTGTCATTTGCTTCGGGCTCAGCAACAAACATTGATCCACTACCACTTGGTCCACAAGCACCTTCGCGAATTTTTTTAGCCAGTTGGAATACATGAAATGCCATTGAATCGGATAAAGGTTGTGGTGGTGGGCGTTTAAGATGAGAGTGCCAGCCAATCCGTAAACGAAATGGACCAGTTGTTGCCGATAAATTTCGAAGAGGTAAAGGATAAGACTCTGAATCTCTACATGAATTGGTATTACGCTTTGTATTACTTTTAATTTCGCTATGCGAACCTGAAGGAACATTGACGTCATCCGACTATAATTTTAAAGGAGTATAAAAAACAACATAAAAACAACAACAACAAAAAGTCATCAGCATTATATACAGAAAGCGATATTTTCGTGAATGACAACTTTAACCACTGTAAGAATTATTTTACACAAATTTAGAGTTTTAAGTACTTGCATATCATAAAATCTCGCCACCCAAAAACATAGCCCAGGATCAACTCCTGCTCGACGTACTCCTAAGCAATGGAAAATATCCATCAGGATATTAGAGAGAGAGGAACAAGAAGCATAGCAAATATATACCTTTTTGGCGATTTCATCCTCAAAAGCTGTACACAATCGCATTTTCATACACAAGTTTATATTAGTTGCAATTATTATTCAATTCAACGCAGTAAGGAAAAGATATTAAAGGTGATGCTGATTTTCAACTTGATATAAGAGTTTGAAGGTATGAACATAGATTACAAGGGGGGCATAGAAACAAGTCTAAACCTCGCGTAGCAGGTTGGAAGTCAGGCAGGTAGCGACCTCATCCTGCAGAAAAAAAACACCGCTATTCAAACCTCAAACCCCATGTTCCACTGAGAACGTGTAAAGGAATGAAAAAGTAGTGTAAAACAAAATTTGGTTTAGAAAAAGAATACTCTTCATAGAGTAGTCTTTTTTTCCTTTCCTACGTTTATAAAATGCAATAGTAGAACAAGTATTTAATGAATTGTGATTAGTTATAATAAATGTATTCATACATTTTAGGCATCACCATATTTATTAATTAATTTTATTATAGTTTGATTCCATACAGTATTTTTGGCACAAGTATGGAATTTTCAGCATGTGATATCGGTAGACCAAATTCAGCAGGCCAACCATTGATATCAGATGTGCGTCGGTCGGGGATCGAACCTCGGACCATGTGCATGGTCGGCGAGCGTCCTAACCGACATACAAGACACCCTGTATACTTAAAATGAGCCGATTTTCGATCCTATTTGTTACATAATCAACTGTTAGCGTTATTATTGTTGTTATTATTGAAACAATTTTGAAGAGAATTTGTTCCACTCTAATAGTTCCGACTTTAATAAAAAGAATATTGAACAAGATATCCGTAATTCTCAACCAGTTTTCGAATGAATGCCAAGATTAAAAGATATTTGAGCAAACATGAAATAATTTCCAAATGGCGATACTCCCCGGCAAAGTTTTCGTTTGGCAGACTATCGTTGATAAACAGTACGGCAAATGAAGGTGAAATGAATGCCTTAGTTGTGGTAGGGTTAGAAAGTCAGAAGTCTTTGATTTGAACCCTGCAGCGACCTAGACAGACTTTCACTTCACCTTCACAGTCATCACTCATTGAGGATCATATGTCATTCAATAAGATGCGGTTGAATTAACTGCAACGACAAAACATAAATTATGCATATATGGTGTATTCTTGCAAATCGAGATATTGAAATATAGGAACACTGGAAAGAAATTCAATCTGACCAGAAAAACGGAATTTGAACCTTCTAACACTCCTATCACAATTTTTTTGAAAAGTCTTACATACATGTGAAAAGAGAGACCATGGAAAAAGTGAAATTTTATTGAAGATAAATAATTTTTCCGAGAATTTCAGTTAAATCTAGACTGGTATGTTCAACGATTCTTAAAGGAACAACCCGAAAAGTGCTAAAGCGTTGGTAAAAAAACACCTCGGTAACTTGCACACTGATTGCTTTCTTTAGTTCGGTTAGTTTGCTATGTATACAGCCAACAGTCATTAAGATTATGTGAATGCTGATCACAGTAAATGGTTACCTAAACTAAAGTAGGTTGCTGTTTGAGTCTAAATTTGCAGTCGATTGCGTTGATGGTCAACCAAACATCACTTATAGAAACTCTTAAACTGAGATCACATACATCCTAAGAACCCAGTTACTCCGGACAGACTGTTCATGTGCCTGGCTATAAAGGCCTCAGGTATTGTGTGAAGCTTGACCACAATATTTATTCGCATAGGCTGAATATATATGTAACACTAAATAATAAGAAGTTTGAAATGCTGAGAAAAAAACAATAACATACCATATTTTGAAAGTAATTTGCCTGACAAGGTTTTGTATTGTTATCATTATTGATTAACTGTTTGGTAATCGGAATCTGTGTTGAAATGCATTCATTACCACCATCATCATCAACATCAGTGGAGGAGGAAGAGGAAGAAGGGGGTGATCGCGACGACTGTATTTTATCACTCTGTCCCATTGAAATTTGTTTATCATTCTCATGTTTATTATAATTTTTACTTTCAATCAAAGTTGCTGTTGTAGACATAGAAACTGAATTCGAGGTATGATCATTTATAGACATTTGTTTATAACGTTCAGCAATATCTCCACATCCACCATCACTACTTTCAGTTGTATAGGCAGCAGCTGACGATTTTTGACCAACTAGAACTAACCGACGTATTGCATCAGGTGAATTATCACTACTTGTTGTTTCTGGTGCACTAGTATCAACTGCAGAGAAATGACATAGTCTTCTACGTGGATCGCACAAAGCTGCACATCGTAAGTTATCCAGCTAAGAGTATGAAGAGAAAAATAACCCATTGAAAAATACGCGGAATAAAACAGGTGAATGGTCAACTAATATTAGATGTAACAGATATATATATATATATATATATATATATATATATATATATATATATATATTAACCGTAACTTCTCGCTAAATGTAGAAATTGGTCGATTGGGATAGAATTTCAGAGAGGGCAACAGCTATTTCGACGCTGAGGAAACACCTTGCTGACGAGTAACAAATTTGTCGTCTGAAGGGATGATAACCAATGGTGTCCCATCAGGGATGTCCAATGTCTTCATTTCTGTTTAATTTCATGATACATGTATCAGTGGTATTGACGCCAGCTGACTTTAGCGACTCAAGGATTGACTTGTTAATAGGGAACAGTTTCATAGGCTTAGAGTATGCCGATGAAATTGTCTTCATAGATGAAGATGCTGGTAAAATGCAGATTTTTCTCAACACTTTAAGGAGAATTCTTGGAATGTTTGACATGCGATTCGCTCCTGTTAATTGTGAGATAATGTCGCAGGGTGTAAGTCTACACTGACTTATTTATTTGGGAAGGTGCATCAACTCTAATGGACTGATTTTTGACCAGATCTTAGCACAAATACAATAGAATTTGTCAACTTACATCATCCCTGCCATAAATGTGATATCCAGTTTATAGATCAAAAAAGGTTGAGTGCTGCACAACAGTTCAATGCGTCCTTCTTTATGGTTGTGGGACATATTCAGTGAAAGTGGAGGATTTAATGAGTGTTGACGATAGGTGTTTGCGTTCTGTTTCACATGTTAAATGGTATAACATAGTTAGTAATAATGAGGTTAGGCGTAGAGTGCTAGGTAAGGAGGGTAAGTCAATCGATGAAGCGGTGAAGCTACATCAATCCATTCACCGCCTTTCTCAACGAGCAATATTGGCTGACATAGCATTAGGTTAGAATAGAGTTAGAGGTAGGTCAAGGCAAAACCTAACAACCGGTTTGAGTCATGTAAACAGGTGTAGATTAACTGACTGGCTGGAGTCTTCGAAGATGCCAAGTATCAATAACTAAATACTATTGATGGATATAGCTCAAAATGGTGCATATCCATTATTCAATTCTCTTTTTTTCTCACAATTCTGCTTATTATAGTTCCTTTGAGTCTCTTTTTTCTTTATTTTTTCTACTTTTATGTGCTACACATTAAAGTGTGACAACTTGGACTGGTGTTCACCTTCTCTGTGCAAAGTTCTAGGTTGGAACTCAGTCCGGTACATTTCACCGCGATGTCAGCTACCTTAAGTTGATCACACTCAAGATTTTAAGATGGTGAATAATGGAATGACACTTACATGTAAAATGTACAAAAATGAAATTGAGATGTTGAAATAATTAACAGAGTGGATGTTGTCATTGAGGTAAGCGTACAAGATGTTTAGAAAGACCAGTCGGTTTTGAGAAGACCAGAAGACGTCAAAAAGTAGTAATCATAATATATAAAAAAAGATGTGCCTAAGGCTTCTGTTTAATCTCCCTAATAAATGGAAGTACCGTATGTAATTGAATTCACAGATACTTAAAATTTTAATTTAGAATACATTTTCACTTTTGATCTGTAAATTCGTCTATTATTTAATCAGAAACAGTGGGGTTAGACAGGGTTGCCCAACCTCTCCATTTCTCTTTAACTTTGCCATCGATGACATTCTGAAGTCAGCTCTGAAGGATGTGCGTGAAGGTGGTGTAGATCTGCTACCTGGAGATAGACTTTTCGACCTCGAGTATACAGACGATATCATCCTACTGTGCGATAGCATGCAGGCTGCCCAAATCGCACTTAATCAGTTGAAGGTCAGTGTCTGTAAGTATGATATGTGCTTTGCACCATCTAAGTGCAAAGTACTGCTACAAGATGGGCAGGAGCCTCTACTTGCACTCAATCTTGCAGGTGAACCACTTGAAGTTGTTGATAAGTTTGTGTATCTGTGTAGTTGTGTGAGTGCTGGCGGAGGGGTGACGGATGAGATTTTCAACCGTATAAAGAAGGCTAGGGTGGCATACATCAACTTGAGCCACCTCTGGCGCCGTCGCGACGTTAGCCTGGCTGTCAAAGGTCGGGTATACAATGCTTCGGTGCGGGCTGCCTTGCTCTACGCCTGTGAAACCTGGCCTCTCCGAGCTGAGGATGTGCGGCGGCTCTGCATGTTCGATCATCACTGTCTCCGCAGGATTGCTTGCGTTTGATGGCATCATCGCGTGTGTAATTCTGAGGTTCGGCGGCGTGTGTTTGAACACAGTGGAGATCACCATTCATTGAGTGTCGTCATCTGGAAACACCAGCTCCGGTGGCTTGGACATGTGCTGCGAATGTCATCCCAGAGGCTTCCGTACAGGTCTCTGTTCGCTAGCCCTGGGACGGGATGGAAAAGGCGGAGGGGTGGTCAGTCCATGACGTGGCGTCGTGGGATGAAGTATATTTGTGCTAGATTAGCATCGGTTGGTGTGTCACGACTCCCTGGTTGGGGTCCACGAGATAGCCCGAATCGATGGCTCGAAACGTTATCGGATATGGCCAAGAATCGTAATCAATGGCGAACGTGCTGCAATTTCCTTCTTTCTTCTCTTCCTGATGATAGTTAACGAATACTGTTTGAACTTGTTAAACATGACTGTTTTCCTTCCTGATGAAGTTCTTTATCCGTTTTCTACCTATATTTTTACTTTTAATCTATGTTGTTTTATTATTATTGTGTGGCGCATCTTTCTTGGTGCCATATTGTACCAAGTTTTTCTGCGTTTAAATAAATAAATAATCAGAATGCAACAGTGAGCGAAATTTAACAATGATGGCGTTTTACGAAATTCACTTTGAATGTTCTTTTATAACAAGATGATGAAAATGTTCTTCACCAAAATTATTTATTTATTTATTCAGTCAGTCAGTCAGTCAGTCAGTCAGTCAGTCTAATGTAAGCCTATACAAAGAAATGGAACATTTCTTACGTAGAATAAATCTGATTGCAAAAAACGCAAAGGACTACTTTTAGGGTAAATTTCATTACAAACTAACATAAAACCAGTGGACATCTGTTTCATCCCACATACTAAGACTCTTTAACAGTTACTTTTCAGAATCCAATGGTCTATGAGCTCTAAGTCCTTTCAATTCACTGCAGAGCACCCAACTCGGTGAAACGTCTCAATAGGACTACACACAAACAAAGACGAAATGGCTCTTCAAATGCTCACTGGTTTTCAATCGTTCTGTAACTGATGTGTGTCTGTGGCCAAGCATCCACACACACACACACACACACCTTCAAACAAATCAAATCTCTACAGAGCAACACTTAAAAACAGCATTTATTTTAAAAGAAATATTTTAAAAAGCAGTCTACCTTATATGAATTGTTGTTTACCATCTGCGCACAACATACCTTCGAATCAGATAATGTATCCGTGTCTTCACTGACCGAGACTGGATCAAACGATAATGGTAAATTATTAACAGATGTATACTGCTGTTTCACTTTATTAGATAAGTTATCCCCATCTGAAACTGGCGATGTATCAGGCATATCTGAATAGGCATATTTATCTAGACATCAGAATACCAAAGAAAAAGAATCACTTTAGAAAAATATCGATAGTCAAATTTCAGTAGACAGTTAAAATCAGTTTATGAAAAAAAAGAAACTAAAAAACACATTCATTATACACTTATCAAATTACAAATAAAAATAAACATGTTTGTAATATCTAAGCAATCAACAGTATAATAATTTGTGTTTTTTAAAGACTACTTCAACAACTACTTCGATCATACAACGGAAAATATCTGTAATACAACAAGTACGTATCCGTGTAGAAAAGTTCTGTGAGAAACTATGCTTTGAGGCATTTCTGAGATAATCGTCAATCACTTTTATAATCCAAAACAAACTGTGCGCAAAAGAGTTCAAACGCACTGTACCACACTGTAGTGCTGAAGAGAATCAAAAAGAGAAATTATATACTAATTGTCTTCAAGATCAGGATTTTCACCTCCAATGTGAAGTCAGTCAGTGCTACTATACGGACCAGAGACTTGCACTGCGCGTCATAAAGAGCATCTCAAACAAATTACAGACCTCCATTAACAGTTGTCTTCGCTCAATACTCAAGATCAGATGGCGAGAAAAGATCAGCAACAGAGATCTCTGGCAATGAGCGAACCAACACAGCAGGAGCCGATTGTGAAACAAATAGGGAGGAAGAAATGGAAATGGATTGGCAATACTCTTAGGAAACCATCAAGTGACATCACTAGACAAGCCATTGCTCGAGTGGAACCCGAAAGGGAAGCGGCGAGTTGGTCGTCAGTGCAAGGGTGAGGGTGACTTGGAGGAGGTCATGTGAAGAGGAGATGAAAACGTGTGGGCAGACTTGGAGCCAGGTGAAGACTCTAGCAGAGAACAGAACGCAATGGAGACGCACGGCTCAAGCCCTATGTTCCTGTAGGAATTAAAGGATACAATAATAATGATAATAATAATAATAATAATAATAATAATAATGTCTTCAAGAAGAATGAATACCCATACAATTTCATCAGGAAATGTTTAAACTCAAATCGGAATACCATCAAGAAACCATCCTCAAAAAAGAACCGCATATAAACAATACCGCTGAAATAACGACTAGAATATCGAGACAATCTGAAATAGATACAATAGATAAGCCAAAACGACCGCTTCATTCAATATTGCACAGACCAAAGGAGCCAACAGAAAAAGAAAGAAGATAAGGTCAATATTATTTACAAAATAAACTGCATAAACCGTAATAAAGACTACATTGGTCAAAGTGGGCGTCCTCTTCAAATCAGAGTCCAAGAACATAATTTGAATGCAAAAAGACGCAATAACTATTCATTCATATCGATGCATGTAGACAATCATGGAGACCAGGATGACTGAGAGTATGTGGAAATTTTAAACATAGCGAACACAAAAAATGCCAGGGACTTTTCAGAAGCCTGGCACTCAGATGAATGATAAAAAAGAACAAACGCATTACTGTGGATCAAATTTACCAACTAATTTAAAAATAAATCACATGACAAGAAAGTTCGAATTCTAAGCCAGTAAAGATGCAAATTAACAACCATTCGTGACAATAGTTGTCAGGAGATACAATTTTATCACCATTCATGGAGAATTCAAACCAGTTCACCTTGTATTAAAGCTTGCTCTGAAGATGTTGCACTTGGTCAGTGTGTAGTTTTCTTTTGATAAAAACTTGAATATCATTTTTCACTGGGTACGTAAAAAAAGATTGTGATTCTCATCAGTAATTATCACAGTCATGTAGCTGCACATCTCAAGACATTGTCAACTTTACTTTACTTTTCACTGTAGAGATTAATGTGCTATTGCGATACCAGTTAGTGAGCAGCAAACAGTGATAGGGTCTCCAAACCCTTCTAAAGTTTTGCAGATTGACTACACTAGCCATTTAAGATTATAATTCCATTATGTGGATGCGTACACCTACATTTTAAATGTGCTTACCAGAAATGAAATGCACTACCTTATTTGAGATGTTGACTTTTATTTACGTTATATCGCTTAAATTACCACCAGTGGGACCCGAATTTAAGCCCCCACTCCATTTATTTCATCCTAGGTGACCAGGTAGTTATCAGTGTGTGCTGTACACTGATAAATGAAAAATCTTTTCCGGTTAACTACTATCACTGCTACTACTTAGATTGCTGGAAGGCGCAGAATGGCTAAACCATATCACTCAGCAGATAATATCACCTTGAATTATATAAACAAATAAAACAGAATAATAGTAATAATAATAATAATAATAGTAATGACAACGACAAAGAAAATAAAGGGAATTATTTTCGATATACCTTCGGGAATACGTGGAGTAACTTCATCTACGCCAGTGTTGATATCATCGCTTTCTTTACAATTTATTTCAGTTACTGGTGAAATTTTATCATTATTATTATTATTGTTATTACTACTACTACTACCACACACAACTGTTTCAACCTCCGTCAAATGATTTAAACTTTGAAAAGTTGAATTTGACATTGAAGACATCCCAGGATTCGTTACGGGATTCATTGTTGATAAACTGTTCAACTTGACCGAATTATTAGTAGCAGCTGTAGTTGCAGTGCTGATGGTATTAGGAGGAGTATTAGAAGCAGTAGCTGAATTTTGTGCTGCAAAAGATTTATTCTCATGTTTAATGATATCCGCCATTTCAGGAACTGAATTATAACCTATATTAAATGACTGAAAATTCATTAATTCACGAGAATCCAAGTTTAAGCAAGCCCATAGAGGTGGTGATTTAAAGTGTGGATTGTAATAACGATCAAGTAGTCTGGCAAGTATCTACATAAACAGAAAGAATCAAGAAATACAAACGTGATTAATAATAATTTATATTAATTTGAGAAAATAATAATAATACTAATAATGCAGTTTCCTGCCTCAAGGTAAAGAATTAGAACAATGTTAGTTTGACTAATTAACGATAGCGATTTCGAACGAGTTCACAGGGGTTAGGCGACTTTTAACTAGTGAATGAATCATGAGTCCGAAATCCATTCCATCAAGCCTATCATACAAATGTCCGTGACCTATTTACAAATGCATAGGCACACACAATAATTATAATAATAGTCATAAATCATGGAGTCAGTGATTGCTAATCTGAGTCATCTAAGAAAGAAGACACTGTCAGGTTGAGATGGATGAAATAATTGGAAAATCAACAGATAGAAAGGACATAAATTGAATCAAAGCCTCATATATCTTTACATAAATATTAATATTTCATGTATTCTTGTTTCTCTTATTATCTGCTCCCCCAATTATTTTTTTACGATCTTAACGCTTTTTTTCTAAAGTAGTTTTCTGCCCTCCTGGTTGGTTCTTAACTTTACCCCCAACCTCTGCAGTTGACTAACATAAAATATAGCAAATTAAAACACATTCATGTCAGGCATCACACACATAACTTGTCATTTTTTAACATCACAAAGAGAAATTTGTGAAAGCTACACTCATTCCTAAGGACTAGTGTTTAAAAAAATTAAAACAAAATCAATGGAGCATATAACTACAGATTTTTGTTCATACTTAAATCTCAAGTATAGAGAAAAATCCTGACAAGTGAAAAACTACTGATACATTGACTGTGATCTAGAATTAGAAACACAGCGATACAGTATGAATAACTGGATGGCGTAACACTGTGTGTTATGTGTCAAATAAACTTATCTAACATCCGATTACATTCTACCAGAGCTACCTAAGTTCTACGCTTCTACTAGAATTAAAAGGTTTAGACTGAAGGATGATTCAAACACAGATTTACCAAGAAAGTAAGAAAGTAATTTACCACAATGTGCATGAATACGGAGTTCTAATTATGGAAGAGAAATATACACCGAAGTGTATCATAAGTTTAATTTGCAATTTGAATTGAATTCAGAAGAATATAACAGAGAGTTAAAAGGAATAAAACAATTACTTGTGGAACTGTTACTATTTCTTAAAGTGATAAATAGCAATAACAAAAAAACAACAACAACAACTACATCAACTGTGATCAATTCTGAGTAATGTCCCCTGGAAGCTTCGATCAATGATTCTGAACACTGTAGCAAGGCTGCTCACATCCACCTCTGTATGACTAATAGCACCAATCAAGGGCCTTCACATAGTTTGTACAGGTTTTGGATCAATCAACTTTAATCTTCTTCAAACCCAACTTCGTCCAAGCCCAATTAAGACTAAGGAAGTCACTGAATCCGTGATATCTGTATTCTTGATGAGGTTTTATTATCAGCTCACTGCAACTGATAAGTCAATTGGTCAATGAACTCAGTCACTTCATATGAGATATCTTTAGATCTACGGATATTCCATTATATTTAGCAAATGTAAAATATGTACTAAATATGCTTGAATTTCATTAGTTTTTCATATCGTCCCTACAACAGAAATGACTTCTTAGTACTGTAGATGATCCCTGAAGGGTAGATCGATTCCTAAGATGTCGGTAGTAGATTCACAGGTGAAAAAAGGTCTCATATAATAATAATGAACAAACTTATAGACAATCTGAAGAAAACTTACTCGATCCAATTTCGGTATATCATCTCGATATACATGAAACAGATAGAGAGCTAAAGCATCTTCTTGTGCACGTTGACCTTCAATAAAATAGGTGAACAATTTCTCCGGTACACGAGATTTTACACCCAATACTGATATCACAGATTGTAGGCCTAGTTCTGCATCTGATGTAATACGCACATTAATATTATAATCTGTTTTTTTAATTTCCGGTGAATTATTTCTCATATCATTGTGTAAATTATAAATTTCCATTGCTAATGGTAAACCACTTCCATTTAATACAGCACCAGTTGTTAAAATTGGACAAGCCAGTATATTTAGTAGGCCTGTTGTATTCATATTCTGTGTAACATTTTCTGTATTCTGATCCAAAGATAGGATAAGATTGACCACCCGTGGACATAATGGATTTCTATATGAACTTGATACACCAACTAATTGATGAAATAAGTATGTGACCAGGTTGAATGGAACTAGAATATCTATTTTTGAGAGGGATATAAAAGAAAGAACAGATGAATTGATAACATTTAATTTAGAAAGATAGAAAAGAAACGTATTCAAACTATGTAGGAGTAGATATGATGATAATAATAAAGGTCAGCAAAATAATAAATACTTCAATTAATGGATAGAAAGTGACGTTTCTAAGGAAAAATAATAACTGCCATCTGACTTATTATATATAGGCAAACTTGATTTTGAAGCGAATCTCATCAAGATTCAAGAGGAACGAGTGACAAACGAATCAATTTTCCTTATGAATAACCACTAAAATGTAGCTCATAAGGTTGAGTCATCCATTGTCTTATGAGTACAACTTTAAACTGAAAGTGCGAAGAGTGACCACCTGGGACAACCAACAACATAGATTTGAATGTTCAGGCAGTCATTACAAACAGTAATAAGGAAGAAATTAGACAACCAGATTCTAATAACTAGAAAATTGCATTCCCCAAGAATACTTGAATTGAAGCCTAAACCGACCGATCGGTCCTTCACTATGCTTTGATTTCTAAGGAAAGAAAAAGTAGAATTTGAGAGCTGTAATATAAATTAATTCTCTATCCGATATATTTATTTGATATGAGAACATACAGTATTATCTAGCGTGTTATATCAAATAAACTCATCTCGTAAGTGTTAACACTGGATGAAATTCAATCCAGCTATAAGTATTCTATCATTTTAGAAGTATACGGCCTTCTACGATTTCAATTACCTACAGATATATTAACTGTCAAGTGTTGGTTTGCAGGGATTCAGTTGGTTACAGGCTTGACCACGAGTTGACACCAGTTAGAGAATCATTGGAGAAACTGGCAATTCTGGACAGGGTTTCATGTTGGCTTAGTACTCTTCACCAGTACCCACTGGTGTTTAAACACAGGACCTTCCGGTTACCAGACGAACTAGTAGGCCATTCAACCACTGGGACCCAACTTAATGCCCCATCAATTCCAACTTCTGACAATTCACGATATATAAAATTTTCATGATAAAACCTATTCTGTAGCTGTCAAACGACATCATCTTTGGTGCTGGCAAAGTGAACAATGTACTAAAAAACAGTGATGATAATGCTGACGGAAGACCACCCAAGTATCATAAATACAAATGCCTGAATAGTTTTAGGAGCCACTTCAGTACAAAAGTAGTAAACGGATATGAAGTGTCATTTCGAGGAGACAGATATAACAAGAAATAAATAACATGATGAGTAGTACAACGTGTCATCTTAATCAAACTTAAGTGTATATGTAAAAATAAAAAAGTACGAAATGACGAGTTGTGTGAAAAATGTATCTAATCGATCCTTTCCCAAAGAACATTCACTTTTAATACACTGTGAATTGATAACTTCTACCTCCAGACTAACTGTTTAACAAAAGATAAAGTCTGTCAGAAACTGAAACGAAATTACAACTCCTTAGTCAATCAAGCTACTACTTTTCTCTCTTATTGAATATTCTGATAAATTTGCAATTTATTACGGTGTAGTTCTTCAAAATCCAGGGAGAGGGAGGGGACAGCAATCATCATTTTTACTACTGCAACTCTTAGACAATAATGCTTTAATCTAAATAGTTTCTTCTATACTTGGTATGCTAGACTCACCTTTTTGATGTAATGTTAATCCAGATATTACTTGTTTCGCTTCATTGCGTATACTTGATATAACATGCGGACAGGCAATATGAATTGGCAGTAGACACAAACGATTAAGTAAACCAACTTCCATATCGAATAATTCCACCTCTAATAAAGGGCTGCAACACGGTGGTCTAGGAAATTTCAAAGCACAAAATCCTAAACGGAATGCTAATTCAATATCAATACACTTCCATGCATCAAAAGATTTAATGAAGTCAGCATTTCTATCCTCTGTTTGACGATTGTGATCATTAGTGCTGTTAGTATTGGAACCATTAGTATTACTGTTGGCATTAGCTTCGTTATTATTATTATTATTATTATTACTATTACTAGCAGTAGTAGCAGCTGCTCTCAGGTTATTATAATTAATATTGCTTGTAGTTTCAAAACGTGTCGGTTTTGTATAAAGTCCACGTAGAGTTTGTTTAATATTGAAAGTATTTCCATTAATTGAAGAACTTGGTGTATTAGAGACAAATTCATCGTGTGAACGAGAAAGACATTCCATGACACAGCGAATTTGATCCAACCAACGAATAGCCTGTACAAAGTAACATTTAGGTTGCAAAGAAACAGAAAAAAAAAACAATAACGAAATACTTATGACTGTAAGAAGAATGCGATAAACGATTATCATTCATTTTCATGTTCAATCATTTTCCATTATACTTTCCGGTGTACATGAACTGAACCATTGGCTAAACTAATTAGACAATTTCTAAATCACTCAAACTTCTTAATATGGACTTATTCACTGGTGTTCTTATTTGCCACAGACATCACCAGTTTTTCCACCAATTCCTCCCCCCTCACAACCTATTCCTCCTGAAGCAGGAGTTTCCTGCATACTTTATTGGATAACCGTTCAACAAGTGTAACAGATATTTTGTACACCAAAACTAGTACAAATTCATAATAACCGTACAGATCTCCAGGCGCAGAAATCTATGAATAATGTCGATACACACTACGGTGACTGGTTTCAAAAAACTTAACAAAAAAAGTGAATATTTACTTCTTTTTGTAGAGACACTCACAACACTCTGTAGAAAATGACCGAGTGAAATACAAGGGTGTGCGCACGCGTCCCTCAACGGACGTAAACACCATAAACAGTACAAGTCAACGAATGTATAAGAAGCTTTTTTCATCTGCGTATTATGGGAAATAACGTGAGTTGAAATGAGTAAAACCAGTTGCAAACAACTCCTCATAGTAGTAGTAGTATAACAGATATAATTCCCAAACACCTTGACCTTACAGTATATGCTACCCATAACAAAAAACTATGACATTGGATAAGGACAATAAAGAAGCACATATAAGCTTGCTAAGTTTTAAAAATGCTTCAAAAAGAACTCCCAAAGGCATATTGTCTAAGAGTGCGTCATTATTCATCGATGAAAACAACCATCTGTCAATCGATAAAAAAACAAACTAACTAGAGGGATGATTAACCATGTTAATTACAATGAATAACAAAAATTAAACACCAGTAATAAAAACGCCTTTCAACTAACCATATGACCTTGTAAAACTTAAGGTTAGATAGGTCAACAACTGGTAGAATAGGCGATTTTGCTAACTCGGTTACTCAATAATATTTATTAAATTCAATAGAATTGTCTAACCATTAAAACCCCCATAAACTGAATATATTGTTGATGAAAATTCGGTAAATCCCAAAAGAGTCGTTTTTATCGTAAAATATAAAACTTGAAAGACAGTTATAACCAAAGGTAGCATGATATCATACTACTATATACAATGGAAAAACAAACCTAACAGTAAAACCACATAAATACAGTTGTTTATAAAAGTCCTTAATATCACACCGTACTACTAATAATAATTGTGGCATCACACGATGAGTTACCCATTTAGTCAGGGCGAAGAACCTCCTAGGATAGAACATTATTCTTCATCAACTCTATATGGGTCATTATTCGTTAGGAAGTTATACGGAGAGGAATTTGTTCAGATTCACTGACAATTATATTGTTAATAATAACGCTAAAATAGGCATTCGATAGTGGATATTGGTAAGCTTCGCTCTAACCAATATCCAACATCAAATTTACAGTGAGTAGTAGTGTCGTATCACGACTTCGCATTCATCTCGTACACCTAGAATCGATAGACTGCAATCGGTACTTAGGATGACAAAGTTGAGCTAGTTACCGTAAACTGACAAATTCTACAGTATTTTTTAAACCCGGGGGTTAAGATTTTGTGCTTCTGGTTAAAAGCAAAAAACTCAGTATAGTGTTATTGAAATAACAGAGAAGATTTGTACCTCAGGTGGTTTAAAATCCAAGTCAATAGAAAATAATCAATACGTATGTAAAGATGGTTGCCGGGAGACGCAATTCTATCACTCATGAAAAATTTAAATCACTTCACTTTATGCTAAAAATTGCGCTGAAGATGTTGTCCAGAAGGACGACGAAAGCTCCGCAACTAAACCAACCAGCTCAGAGAACACTATTAATTGCAAATAGTGTTATTGAGCTCAATAGTCACACTGAAAACTTAATCGATATGTTCATGTTAGTATTGGAAAGCAAGATATGATATGAATTACTTTTCAATGACAAATATACCCATAAATAAATCGCCTTTCAGCTGTAAGCCTAACAGCATGAGTTATACGGTGATGTTGTGAGATGACAGAGAAAGGTAGTTTAATAAATTAATAGATTCTCAAACAAACCATCAGCTGCCTGCTTGAATCACTGAGCTATCTGAATCGACATTCACCTCAGTACATCATATTTTCGTTAATTCTTATTTTTTTTAACAATTCAGTTATGTTTTTCAACCACAGAATATACTACTCACGTACATTTGTGATTGGCTTTCAAACTACTGAGGTGTGCATTACTCGGAGATGAGGGAATAGTCTATGCTTCAAACAGAACAACACTGTCGCACGATATACTACTACTACAGACTGTGATTTTACTTGATATCACTGCGTAAAGGGGAAATATTATGCAAAACATTACGCTGAAAAATTCTGTACGCTGTGTATTCATTTTCTACAGAATAAAGCTGTTATTATTATGATTATTATTATTAAAAACTCCCCATTAATTATGAAAATAACATAATAGTTTTAAATATTGAGCAATCAGCATGAACCATATGCTCACGTGGTTTCCGTTCCACAACTTATATTTAAATGCTCTGTTTAGCGCTTGAATATTCAAGTATGTTTACCAGTTCACTAACTTCAAATTGCCTGAAGTTAATTAAATTATTCTTGAAAATGAAGAAAACAGTTCATTAGTATTATTATGTCAAGAGTCTAGAAAGACAACCTTCGTGAGTTCTTTAAACAGTAGTAACGAATTAACTGGCCAAGTAAATTTCATAAATTAGAAGTCGATAAGGAATTTTGTGCATGTACTCACTTATAGATTATATTTACTACTTCTCAATTAAGTAGTATATTGAAGGCAAGGAAAACACTTAAGACAAAATATCTTTTCCTTTAGCTTCCTTGAGTTAGATTTTATAAATATCTTACCATATTTGTAGTACACATCGAAGTAGAAAAAAAACAACAACAAAGCACTCAGGTGAAGAAGCAAAATAAACACGTCTGGTAAAGAATAACACTGTTAAACATTGAAAATATACCTTTGCAGTATATTCAATTGATAATTTATTGAATAATGGATGCAGTTTAATTGAACTGGTATATTTCTCTGTAGTTTCACGATTACTATTAACAGTAGTTGAACTAGTGGTAGCTTTTTTAGAACGTGAATTTCGTGCATTTTTTCGTGTATTCGAACTACTTCCCCCGGGTATACCACCACCTCCAGCAGCAGCAGCAGCGCCGCTAGACCCAGCAATCAATGAATTCGACACCGTATTCGTCGATGTTGACTTCTGTTGGTTATTTGATTGAAAGTTGTTATTAGGATACGATTCATGTATATGGCTGCTTGATTCACCCACTTGTGAATTAATATTATTACTATTTCGATTTGAATGTGCTGAATTACTTTGAGACACAGTTTGATATTTAATTCTGCCAACAATTTCAAATGATACTTGTTCACATTCATTAATAAATTCATTACTTGTATATAATAACAAAAGCGCTAAATATCTTGCCCATTGTAAAGCTTGTTCAGTATATCCATGTGCATCGAATGCTTGAAATCTTGAAAAAGCGAACTATACATAGATGGGGGAGGGAGGAAAAAAGAAAAGAGAAAAAATATGTATCATTAATCATTACAAAAGGTTAATGTCGTCTTTGATTGATCCATTCATTCATGGATCTATATAAATAAAATATGACACCAGTGAAGTTGTGCCTTATACGTATTGCGTGCTCGACTCTAAGCCACTCACTCGGTCATGTCATCTCAAATCCCATTCCACTTACTGAAGTTTGTACAACCAGCCAGCATCAGCAGTAGCCCTATCCCAATAGATGAAGCTTATTGCCAGTTGAATAGAAGTGTAAATGGATGTTGTTGGATAATATTTTTGACCTTTCTTCTCAAAATGACTAGAATAATAATGATAATAATAATAATTCCCAACGAGTGCTTGATTACTTGATTAGGAAAAAGTAAGATGTATTTTAATGATTAAAAAATCTCATAGTCTTTTACAATGAAGACACTGACTGACACTACCATCAGATAAGTGATGAAAATGTTTTGTAGCCTCGGAAATAATAAAATAGTATATGCACATGTGTGATTTAGAAAGTCTTAAAACAGTGTCTCACTGAGAGACTATGACCTTCGGATTTTAACAGATAATATAAATTAGAAGAACATTTTGATTTTTTACATGAACATGAAAAATGTAAAGATGGACTCTACGAAATAAAGGCAACACAAACTTTTACCTACGAAAGGAACGAGAAAAAAAAATTGAAACTATATTTTCATTTCAAAACTGATCAAAAGAACTGACTTAGGTTAGAGAGCCATTAAAAACTAGAAAGTACTGGGGAGCTGTTTCGCCCTTGTTTGGGAGTCTCTAATAGTACGTACTCCTGACCCCACCAGGGATCCAACCCAGAACATTCCAATTACAAGGCGAGTAAGTAGAGCATTTTAGCTGCCAGTGTAAAGAAGAAAAGATTGATGAAGCTCAAAGGCCATGTTTATCGGGACAAACGCATTGTAGGTACATAAATTTTGCATAATCTATCTTTTTAGGTCTTTATTTGCACATCATTTGCAAATTGGTCGAATATCACTACATTCGATAGAATGTTGGATTCGACACAGTGTTATAACGTTCTTCTCACAGTTCTCTTCTTTGATTGCTTTTTTCAATGCCCAAAACATTTTGTTACTTTTCTGAATTCGTTTACTGGTGTACTACTTATATCTGATTATAAGCAGCACCCACCAAAACGGGACCTGATCCCATGGTCTATGAATTCCAACTTCTGTCAATTCTCAATATGCAACGCGACAGTCAGACTGACTAATGTCAAAACACAACATTGCACAGAAGTGCAGCAGTTCAGGTTGCCACAATCCATGAAGCACACACACAAAAGAGTGAAAAAAGAAATTCAAAAGAACGATAAGAAGAAGAAATGTGAGGGAGAAAGAGTAATGACATGGAAAAACAATGGGGTTTTATTGGATGTAACAGATCACAAGGTATTTATCCTCGCGCCCAACTTGGTGCACCCTTCTGATCACGAAATCCCACCAGAACATAAGGCAACTTCATCCAGTAGTCAATTAGTCACTTGTGAACACCAGGTAGATTTTCAAATACGTTGGTTTGCAAGGATTCGACCGATTTTAGGAGGACCATTGAAAACCAGAGAGTATTAAACACTCATGACTCCCCTTAATCTCAGATTTAACTATATATATATATATATATATATATATATATATATATATATATATATATCTGTTATCCACAACGATGATATTCTTAATTATGGTGGACTGGATTATCCGTCAAACTGTGCATGGGAGTGAGAAGACAAGATTAAGTTGGACCGATAAGAAGACTCTAGAAAATTTGCATTTCGCAGATGATTCATATTTAATGTCACATAAACTAGAAGACTTGCAGGTGAAAACCAACAAACTGGCTGAGGAAGCATGCAGTGAAGACAGGACTCCAGGTGAACATAGAGAAGACGGAGGTGATGAAGATAACCAACCAACAGGAACAACAACAAAACAACCAGCACCAATTACCATCAACGGGGGAGATTTAACAGAGGTCACTTCCTTCACTTATCTAGGAAGCATCGTTTCAACTGCAGGCAGCCGGAACGGATGAAGATGTCAAAGCAGGCCGGAATCAGAAAGGCAAGATACACGATCATCAACCTGCACTCAGCCAGCATAAAGAACAAGATTCGGATTTTCAACACAAATGTGAAGTCAGCCGGTTCTTCTATACGAGTCAGAAACTTGGTCTGCGTGTCACGAAAAGGATTTCCAACAAGTTACAGACTTTTATCAACAGCTACCACCTTCAGTGGCTGGCTCCATAGTGAAGATCAAATTGACGGCCAGAAACAATTAGCAACAAAAATCTCTGGCAACAAACCAACCAAGAGTCGACTGCTCAACAAATATGTAGGAGGAAATGGAGATGGATCGGGCACACGATGATTGACGTATGCTTGACAATAATATAATAAAATGTTTGACACTTAGCTGTATAAATTAAGAGTGCACGTCAATGATCAATAAGATTTTAATGGGTCGAAGTAGGTACGAAGTAGGCAAAGGTCAGAGTACACATCATTTGGGATGCATGTGATTATTAATCAAAAGTCTGAAAGTCGTGTCAGTGTCTTGAAATGATTATGAAGCAATAAGTGATGCTCAAAATTTTCTCAGTAAGTAAATAAACACTGTACCTCTTTGTGTTTTGCCACATAAAAAGTTTAAAATTATGGAATTATACTCTACCACAGTGCCCAAACAAATTCTATTCTTATGAACTGTGATCAAGATTTGACCGGATAAATTCTATTTTTATGTAAAAAAATTTATAATTTATTGAAAATAAAATATAAAAAAGACATTAAACCAGTGAGTAATATTCATAATAATTAGGAAAAAACAACTGTAAACTGTTACATTATATTGTAATAATTGTTCATTGTAATTAATGTATTAACGGTACAAGTGAAGCAGTTCCATCTAGCATATACATATATGTATACTAGAAAAGGGTAATAAACGGATATATATATTTTTATGAGTTAGTTTGTAGAGGTTTAATTTATTTCAAGTTTGACTACGGATTGATATCAGTTAGAGAAACTGGGGAGTACTGAACAGCTGTTTCATCCTAGTTTGGGACTCATCGGCAGTAGACACCTACTCATATGATTATGAACAATAAATTGTGTTTGAAACGGCATCCAGTATATAACACTGTTTCGTTGTGATATATATCTAGTAAACAAATTAATATGGAATCAATCTGATGTTCGCTAGTTAGTGGCTACAGGAGTTCTAGGGAGAAGTTGTGACCAGTAGGGTCCACCCACAGATGACTGGTGCGAATCGTGCTAAAATCACGAATTGGTAGAAGTCAAAATTCATCGGCTAGCCATTTAGTTGGGTCTCAGTGGCTGAATAGTCTACGAACTTGGTTTTTAAATGAAGGGTCCTGGCTTCGAACCGCAATGACTACGTATTGCCAGTGAGTCCTGAAATAGGATGAAACAGCTGTCTGGTACTCCCTGGTTTTTAATGGTTCACTAACTGACTTCAATCCATCGTCACACTTGAATATACACTGATCTTTTCGAATTCCTTTACCTTTCTACAACTTTTTTAGCTTACGTTTGTTTATTTCTTATTGTACTTACAGAAATGATATAATGATAACTTGTTGGGACTCAGTTACCCGAAACAGATTTATCATGAATAGGCTATGGAGCTAGACTTATTGTGTGAAAGCTGATGGAGTTATCCAGTTGCCTTTCTCCCCCCTCCGGGGAGTTAAGCAGGTGGAGAGGCATATGAACCTAGGACCCACTAACCAATGAGCCACACATGTCTACTGATGATAGATTAATGTGTGACAGTGATAGGATCCCACACACTTTGTTATTGTTCAATTATCTTAACGACTGTTAATCTCGCATAAGTTGTATATCATCAATTCTCACGCACTTTGTTATTGTTCAATTATCTTAACGACTGTTAATCTCGCATAAGTGGTATATTATCATTTCCCAGGCACTTTGTTATTGTTCAATTATCTTAACGACTGTTAATCTCGCATAAGTGGTATATCATCATTTCCCACGCATTATGTTATTGACTATTACGACCAATTATTTCAAATACTGTTAGCTGTCTGTATTGGTTGTAAAAATGTATAAATACCATTTCCTAAATAAGTTTCTTTGTCGTAGTTGTTGTACTACAATACACAGTCACAGACCAGACTTTGTCTTTTGATATTTGCGTGGTTCGCTGAATCGGAAGGTACCAAAAGCAGATAGGCATATTAGTCAGGCGCAGATAGAATAAGGCGACAACGTCCTCATTTAATTACGCTACCGTTATAACAGACAGACTCTGTGAAACAGTATTATTTACTGGATGACGTTTCGAACAAAATTTATTGTTCATAATCATGTCAATTGATCTCTACTTTGTCCTATTCCCTGAGGACCTCTTTAGCTATTTAAACGATTCGCCATAGTCTCTAGTCTCCAACGTGCCACCCTCGGACTACATCCCAACTCGTCGTTTCCCCTTCAGGTTCCATTTGAGTGATGGCCTATTGCGGGATATCATCTGACGGTCTCCCCAACATGTGTCGGACCCATCTCCATTTTCTTCGGCATATTTCTTGAGTAATATGTTCTTGGTTGGTTCGTTCTCCAGAGTTTCTTATTTCCAATTCTCACTAGCCATCTGATCTTCAGTATGGAGCTACAGAAGGCAACTGATGATAAAAGTCCGCAGTAGCCTGTTTGAAATGCTTACCGTGAATCGCCAAGTTCTTGAACCATATAGATTTGACTGACTTAACATTGGTGTTGAAAATCCCAACTTTGTTCTTTACGCTATGTGCAGACTGATTTCACAGTGATGAAGGTCTTCCTTACCCTTCCGATTCTGGTTTTGACATCCTCATCCTAACGCTGTGCCTGTAGTTGGAACAATGGTGCCTAGATGTATTCTGTTGATTGTGATTGGTGCTTCTTTTTTATCACCGGTTGGTTACCTTCATCACCTCCGCCTTCTCCATGTTCATTTGAAGTCCTGTCTTTGCTGGCAGCCTCTTCTGCCAGTTTGTTGATTTTCGTCTGCACGTCTTCTAGTTTGCGTGATATTAGACAAAAATCATCCGCAAAATCCAGATTTTCTACAGTCGTTTTATTGGTTCAAAGTGCCCCGGTTTTCTCGTTCCCATGCATGGTGTCCCGTATAATACAGTCTACCACAATTAATAATACCATCAATGTCAGTGATCAATCTTGTCTTACTCTTGTATTCATTCCAAAGGCTTCACTGACTTTCCCGTTGTGGATCACTCAACATGTAGCATTGTTATATAGTCGTTGAATGAAGCTGATAAAGATTTGAGGCACTGCACTCCATATTGTTGAAGTAGTTTCCAAGTTAATCACGGTCAACGCCATCAAAGACCTCTTTAAAGTGCTTTGTTCGATGACAATGCGTGGAGTTGCCATTTGATGAGCATATGATTTCTTTTTCTGAATCCAGCTTGCTCCGGGAGGAGTTCTGAGTCCAGTGCATCTTTTATTCTCTCCAGGATGACGCAACTTAATATTTTGCTTGGCGTGGACTGAAGCACGATTCCGCGTCAGTCCTTGCAGAGGCTTAAGTTGCTCAACTTTGGTAGTTTGACAAGGTAGTCTTTCCAAATATCACTTGGTTACTCGAAAATCAATCAGTGAAGCAGCAAGTTTCACGCTTGCAGTCTACAGATTACCTGATACCTATCACTTATTATGAACACATACATGCCTAGCAGAGAAATATATAAAAGTAGTTTTTGTAGGAATTTGCTTTGTTTCACGTTTGACAACGGAGTACTGGACAACTATTTCGTCCTAGTATTGTACTACTCATCATCAGTACGCACGCACTGGGGGTTCGAACACATAATTACTTATTAAACACCAAACACTTTACCTCAATATGATTAGCAGGTAATGGCAGGTTATTGAATAATTGTGAATTTATCTGATCCATATTCCAATAATTGTCCAATTCAATCGGAGAATAGTGTTTCATTGAATCAAAGTAATTTCTTGAAAATGTTAAAATAACATTTGCATAATCCGTGATTTCAGAATCGCTAGTAATATGTGCTCCATAAAACGATGGCATAACTAGAAAAGGACAATTAAATAAATGCAACAATAAAATAATTGTTGAATACACAACAACGCATTAGAAACAACAATTGATTGGTTATATATGTCCAAATCGAGTTCACTTTTAACAGTTTTAAAAAATTTTTGGGCATTGGGTACATGATATTCATTATTATAAAAGTTCTTGTATTTCCTAATGAATGAAAAACAAAACGGTATTGTTTTTACTGAAGTTTCTCCATTCAATGCTAATAGTTTTATCGAAGCATTATTAAAACCAGAATTTACAAAATCTCAGCTTATATATAACAACTTAATCATCGTCCCTCAGTATGGGGTCATTTTTGCGTTGTCAAGTTGGCCAACTGATAGGCATTATAAGTATCTCAACAACAAAAAAGCCTTGATCACTACTTCCGATCCATTATCATGATAAGGATGAATTTGAATGTCATTTTACAAACATACAATAATGAGAAATATCTTCGGAGTATATAATTTACTTCTGAGATAATGCATTCACCAAGTTGAATGTTTTATGTACTGTGTTTATATTATTTTTCTACAGGTGAACTATAGTATGATTTAAAACTCAACATTCACTTAAGCTAACCTATTTTTCATGCGCTGGTTGAATGGCAGAATGCTTGACAATCACGTAAGTGGTCTTTGATCACAGATGTCTCCGTTCTTTCTCCCATTTTACGTGGTATACTGGGAGTAATAATATGGAGGTCAAGCATCGAGTGTTAAGTAAGAAGAGAAAACCAATCGATCAGGTTGTGAAGCTACATAGATTGACATGGCTACGACATGTGTTACGCATCCCTAGCCATCGACTACCTCAACACCTAATCTTAGCTGACATACAATCAGACTGGAAAAGACCTAGTGGTGGTCACACCAAAAAATGGAATCAGTCAATCAAATCGTTGACAGTTAGTTTTGAACCAAGTAGGGAGGTATAGACTAACTGCCTGGTTGGAGTCCTTGGGATCCTAAGAACCAATGAAGGCTGCAGATAATTGGTGATATGGCTCAAACTCATCGTTCTCAATGGCGCAGATGCATCCACACCTTGTGACTTATAATTTCCACTGAAACTATATTGTTCTTCGATATTACTATTGTTTTTGCCTCATATTTCTGTTTATCTCTGTTTTGAATCTCTTTTTACTTCCTTCTCTTGCTTTTTGTGCTAAGTGAAGTGTGGCAACTCGAACTGCTGCGCACCCGTGCAAATTTCTACGTTGAAACCAGTCAGTCAGTCAATAGCTGCCACCCAGCAATCAAAATTACAACAGAAGTAGAAACCGGACAGGAAATCTCATTTCTGGACGTCCAACTAACAAAGAAGACTGATAGGACTCTAAAGAGATCAATATATCGAAAGCCTACGTGGAACGGCCAGCTGACAAACATTTACAGTTGGGTACCCAACAATCGCAAGTGGAACCTGATAATATCTGTTGCGACTGGAATCCGCAGAATATGCAGCCCCGAATTAGTAAGAGAGATCATTCTTTTGAGGAAGACACCACTTGAGAATGGCTATCCACCACGTTTTATAGATAACTACATAAAGCTGAAAATCAACAAAGAACAATCCATCTCTGTGCCAAAGATGCTATACATCAAGGTGGCGTTCAAAGGCAACCTTCTGGTCGACATCCTAAAGAGAAGAATACCTAACACCCTGAAAAGAGCATTTACTGCTGCTACATTACTACTGGTATTCTCAAACCGCCCATTGCTCCTCAATAACTCCACAGATAAGCTATCGCTTCTATGTGTATCTACCAATTCACTTGCTCTTGTGCCGCAGGATGTATAGGTCGGTCAATGCATGTTTTATCTAAAACAGTCAAAGAACATTATCCCGCATGGCTACGAAAAGGTAACAGTGGATCAATAAAGAGTGCTATAATTGAACATATAATCAACACTGGTCACTCAATATGCAAGGAGAATTCATTCAGAGTCAAAAGAAGCCTCCAGAAAATGGTAAGTTTCCGCATACTTTGTATTGCCGAGGCTTCAGAGACCCGAATAGAAAACCCTGATTTATGTACACAGAAGAAACTTCTCCGCCCTCTCCTTCTGGCTTGAGTATAATTCCAAGTTCAACTAATTTATTAATAAGGCTTTTTTGAATGTTTGTATGACTTTTGGTAACATCTTTTTCTTAACCAACCCTTTATTTACTCTTTCTACCTATTACGTAATTTATTTTGGACACTTGTCTCCATTAACATCCTATTTTATATTACGCAACCCTTGTCAATACTTACCGATCTTCACTCCCCCCTAGTTTTGATTATTCATCACATTTTAGAAACATTTTGGTGACGTAAACAGTAATCCTAACTAATTTTTCTTTTTCTTTGACAATCCTAATGTACACGAAACACATAAAATAATTACATATAGATGCAATTGTACAGCTAAGTGAATGAATTCACCGAAAAGAGACTCTTTTCCAAACTTTGTTGTTCTTAAATAAACTTACACTTGAAAAATTCCGTTGCACAAAGACCATATGTTGGAGGAACTTCTGATGACCAAGAAAGTCTAAAAAATATAAAGAATTAAAAATAAAAGTGGATTATAGGAAAACTAATTATAAATATCTCATTCCAACAGAATACAAATTATACACCTACGACTTAGGATGGCCTTTTTTCAAAACCACTCATGCATTAAGCAATAATAATAATACCCAAAAGAAAAAGAAAGGATTTCTTATGATCCTGTTAACGAGTAGCAAACAGCAATTTTAACACATTATTATTATTATCTTCAGTTAAATAATTTAGGTTGGATAACGTCTTTTAGATGAACAAATCTTACAATACAAATAGTGTACATGACTTCTAAAAAAGATAATGCCTAAAACTGTTTATAATGAGTGTGTATGCCGACAGACAGTAGACTTATTTATGGTGCTTAAATCCACGAAAAACAAATTGATAACAGAAAAACTAAATGTACTCTATACACGCACGCATACACACCTGCATACAGATTATTACATATATCTATATCTCAATTCACATAAGGGCATTACCAATAAATAGGTTAACAGGAGAAAATATGTTAAATAAGAAAAACTCCGAAATCTCTAAAATGATATTTTCATGTATCGGTTTCGGGTATGTTAGATTTTAGAACAGCGTCTAGTCCCCTCCCCATTTTAGATACTAATACGACACTCATAACTTCGATCGTATCCTTAAAAAATAGCGGTTATGTGTTCGGTCAACTATCCAAACTTATTCCACTTCACTTGTAATTCAGTTAATTGCGTAATAAAGAATATTCTTTCAGATAAATTCGTCATCAGGTTCTACATTTGTCTGACAGTAACAATTAAAGAATGATTGTTATCAATTAACAACATTAATGCTGCTTTAAATTACATTCAATCAATAGTATCGACAGGCGATTACATTTCAAAAGCATCAGTAAGAGAGATAATAGGCTATATATCAGATAAATTAAGGGAAGTAATAGAGAATTTATAAATTTATAGGTTCGACAATTCATAGGTGATGATATACTAAGTGAAATAACAACCAACAAGTTCAGAGAATCAATTGAAAGAACGTTTACTGCCGGCAAGCTGCAGCTTATATTTTTCGCACAACCGGTTGTGATTCCCCAACTCAAAGATGAAGTATCTCGGCTAGCCACCTTTCATTCTATCTATCTATCAATTCAACTGCTCCTGTGGAGTCAATTAGATTGCCCGTTGCTCTAGGAATCTCATTTTTCGTGCTCCGAATGCTTTTTGAAAGGTCAATACAACTCATTTAGTGCTATCTAAAATATTGATATTAATAACAATATTTTTTAAAATTCTTATGGTCATATAAATGTAGAACCTGATAAGGAATTTATCGAAAAGAATATTCTTTGTCCACCAATTAGACCTTTAAATTTTCAATGGGCACTTTCAATGAATCATATAATACATATATACTTCAGTCATCTTCGACTACGAAGGTTTATAACCTAACCTATTCATATGTGGTGAGAGCTGGCTGCTAGCCAAAGTTGGTAGACAGTAATTGACGTCAATGTTTATGTCCCCAATATTGGTGGTGAGAAAATGAGAACAAAGGCTTTGCGTAGGCGGATACAGTTAGCATATGGATAATGACACAGCCACAAAAAGATGCAAGGTTAACTTTCTATGAGAAACAACCATTCAAAAGACTGTATTTTCTACTAACAATAATCTACGATAATGTACATTAAAATCTATAAATATGTGTTGATTTTCCTTAATAAACGATCTGTTGCCTGGCCCTTGTCTTCTGTTGTTACACATATTCTTTTATAGTGTCTAACCTGGAACACTACAAACAATGACCTCAAAACTAATAGATTGTATTTTTAAAGATAATAGTGAATAGACGCTTTCTGAACCTATTTAATACAGCAAACGTGTAGGATAGTTCAGCAGGCAGCCGATATATTGAGTCATATGGCAAGGTACAGAGAGCATGATTCAAGTCCTTAAGGCGCTAAGATTCAATGCCTTAAGACTGTTGGTGAAATGCACCTCAAGATCATGCCACAGACTCATTTTAATCTTGGCGATCTTTCAGTGTGTTGGCCATACCCTGAGAAAACCATCAAGTGACATCGCACGTCAGACCATCGCTCGACTGGGACCTGAATGGGAAGCGGCGAGTTGGTTGTCAGTGCGAGGGTGAAATGGAGGAGGAAGTCATGCGAAGAGGAGATGAAAGCATGTGGGCAGACGTGGAGCCAGGTGAAAACGTTGGTGGAGAACTGAATGCAACGGAGACGCGCGGCTGAAGCCCTATGTTCCTCTAGGAACTAAAGAAGACAATAATAACACATAATAATAATAATAATAAACCCTCATTATTCTTCGTATTACTATACTTTCTGTAGCACATCTCTGTTTATTGTAATTCCACTGCATTTCTTCTCACTACCTTTGTGTGTACTTTTATGGAATTATGCTAACTTGAACTACTACTGAACTTTTATGCAAAGTTGTACGTCGAAAATCCAACTGAGTACAGTTCAACAGATATATTTATTATTTATTTATGCGTTAAAAAAACACCCTAATTACATTATATTTAATTAAGGAAATAATCTATGAAATAGAAAGATTTTCCCTTCTCTTATTTTCCTCTATCAATAACTTAAAATATCAACTAAATAGTAATGAGATATAAAATGTGCACACTGTTACTAATAGATATATAAATAAACAAACTACTAGTATTTCATTCATTAAAATATGTGCAAAAGTAAATTATGTAAACATTACCTGCAAGCTGAAAGAGCTGGCATAAATCCACTAAATAAAGAAACATTTTTCGGGATATAATCTGAGCTATCTTGATCAGGTGGTAACATATCATTGGGAAATAAAGAACCACCTAGTGTGTTACACCAGAACATTGTCACTACATTTTTATCACCAGAGTTTGTAGAATTCAACTGATAGTCAGCTTGTGTTAAAGCGAATACATGAAATGCTTGTAATCTATGCGCAATCTGTTGTAATAGCCAACTATTACCTGAATAGGCTTTACAATTAGAACTAGAAAATAAACCATGTCCAAATGTCGATGATGATGACGATGATGGTGAAGGTGATAAAGGCTTATTGTTAGCATGACTTAAAATTGGTCGAAGTTCAGGATTTAAACAAGCCAATCGCCAAAGTTGAACAATCTCTTCGCATAACCATAAAGCACCACATTGGGTTTGTTTTTGACGAACAGATAAAGTTTCAGGAAAATGACATGGATTAGTTTGAACAGTACACCACCAAAACATGACCTTTAACGATAACAAAAAAGGAGAAATATAAATCACTTAGTCATATATATATATATATTTATATATATATATATATATATATATATATATATATATATATATATATATATATAATTCAACAATCACATGCACGTGTTTATGCATTACCATACTTTCTACGCATTACTTGTCTTACCTGTGTTTCATCATGTTTATTCACTCACTATTTTATTTCTAAAAATGGCTGCAACGAAACCCAGCAACTTAGCCTAATAAACTACGGTTTAAGAAAAAGCCTATTTTCTGTTGAACAAATGTTTCCCACCTAATACACAACTGTAACTGTGGAGGAGAAGAGTAAATACGTAGCACTTTGAATAATTTCGGTCGGTCGGTCGGTTTTCGACATAGAACTTTGCACATATGTGCGGCAGTTCAAGTCGCCACACTCCATGTAGCACACAAAGGAAGAGAAGAAAGTAGGAGAAGTGTATAACAGAGACAGTAAAGAGAGGTGTGAGACAAAGGAATAGTAATAATGAAGAACAAAACAGTTTAATTGGAAATCATAAGTCACAAGGAGTGGATGCATCTGCGCTAGCCATTGAGAACGATTTTGAGCCATGTCACCAATTGTTTCCAACCATTGGTTTTTACCGTCCCGAGGACCCCAACCAGGAAGTCTACACCTTCCTACGTGGCTTAGACTAACTGTTGTAGATCTCATTGACTGGTGCCATGTTTTCGTTTGACCGTCACTAGCTCTTTTCCAGCCTGGCCCTATATCAGTTAACATTGCCCATCGAGGAAGGCGATGACTAGGTATACGTGGCACATGACCTAACCATCTCAGTCGATGTAATTTCACAGTCTCGTCGACTGATTTCCCCGCCTTACCTAGCACTCGATGCCTAACCTCAATATTGCTCACTATATCATACCACTTCACACGGGAGATAGAACGCAGACAACTATGATCGAACACAGATAATCTTTTCATGTCTTTCGCTCTCAATGGCCAGGTCTCACAGCCATAAAGGAGGATGGAGCGGACTGTTGAGCAGTAAACACGCCCTTTGGTCGATAGTCGCATATCGCGTCTACTAAGCCAGAGACGGCGTAAACTGGCATATGCGAAACTAGCCCTCTGTATTCGTGCTGAGATTTCGTCGGAGATCAACCCGTTGGGGCTGATGGTACTGCTACAAAATTAATGAACTTATTTACTCTTTAGCTGAATAGTTTCACTATTAACCTGAAGGATCAGGACACCCATTTATATGTAATGTACTTGTGCATGCAGGGAATACAGTTCCAAGAAATAAAGCAGACCTACGTTGAAATATGTACATGTACGCAACATTTAAAAGTACGTTAAAATTGTTTTGTACATAAACTTTGAATAATTTAACAACTAATGATGGAGGCTTGCTTAAATCAATGGGATAACAAAATTTTCCATCCATCAAAATGTATCGCGTCTACTCTGTTTCGTATTATTTTAATGATCTAATTACTACAATGACACACAGTTCATACTCGTGCACAATTTCAAATAAGTTTCTAACTACCACACTAGGAATTTTTCGACAAAAATGAAGTAAGGACATTGTGAAGCAGTACTACTGGAGAAGGCTTCGGGTGGGAACAATATTGCTTCGGATGATATATTACCGACTATTATATTATTTGGAGATTTTGCACAAGGCGTAAATACCTTGCAATGAAAGTCGCTGAAAATTATGTACTGAGCATAAAAACATTTTTCAGAATAAAGCTATTATTATTACTATTATTTAAAAAACCAGATGGCACACTCCAAAAACATAGTATATGAATCCCTTTCAACAAGCTTAATAACTTGGAAATACTGGGCGTCTACAATAGAACGCAACGATTAATCATATAGATGGTAAGTACTTTGAGAGATTGAAAAAAAAGGGATTTAACATTTCGAAAACTATTCCTAACACTGAATAAAATAACTGAAGAGGACATAGGTGGGAATTTCATTAGAATTTTATTAGTAAATATATTAGCTTATCGAAATTCTCTCAACAGAATAACAAGAGAACTTAATCGCAGCGATTATGATGTCGATAAAAGGAAAGAAATATTTAAAATACTCACTCAAGTGAATATGGAATCAAGTGCTTAAATCAGTAAATACAAAATAGTAATGTATAGTAAATGTCTTTAGTTAGCAACTGTTGTCACCTCTTCATATCTGTGATTTCCCCTTGGTATATATATACTCAACGAAGAAGAGATAAATTCAACTGATGAGTTCAAAGCAGGAAGAAATGTACAACCTCGATCCCACTACTAGCTACCGACAAACATATGACCTCGAATTGTAGTAATCTTCGAAATTCAATTTTATGATATAAACACCTACTTAGTACTTGACTCCAAAATTTAACAGATGAGCCAGAGAGACTAAGAAAGTAAATCGTTTAAGTAGTTGCTGTTTACTAGAGGAAGTTTAAAGACGAACTCAACAGTAAGATTAATCATAAACGAGGCATGAACATTTACCAAAAAATATCAACACAAGGTTCTGTTGTTGTGTAGAAGGCCAATTAGCTCATGTAAAGACTACGTCATGCGATGGCTAGAAAATGGTAGTCTCCAGAGATCAATTTGCCGAAAGCTTACATGGAGTGGACACTACTTACATTTTAATGGTTTTTGTCCAAATAACTATAAACCAGCACTAGTAACAACTCTGTTTTATAGAGTCAGGGAATATACTCAACAGAAAAATTAGAGGGAGAAATTCGCATTCTCAAGCGGATATTGAAAAACAGCGGTTACCCTCAGAAGCTCATTAACAAGTACAGAAGATGTGAAGGCTTAAATGACAAACGAACCACAGTGGGAAAAATGCCTGTCTTCATTCAACTCGACTTTAAAAGTAACAATATTGTAGGAATAGTTAACAGAAGATTGTATTCGTCACTAACCAGAGCCTAACCTGCAGCTAAGTTGGTTCCTGCTTGCCTGAAATGCTCTTTGGAGCAATCAAAAATTGACAGATACCCTTTACATGTTAACTCAAACTGTGTATAGAAATTTACATGTACTAATGGGAGCAGTTACACTGGGATAGCAAAAAGAAGGACATACCTCCGATTTTGTGAACATGTACCAGAAAGCCTACGTCTCAAGGGAACAAATACTTACAACAGTGCCATTGCCAGACATCTCATTAATACTCATCGTGAACTAGATATCGCAAAATCCTTTAAAATTGTCAACAGACAAAACAGTTCAATTCTCCTCAAGTGTGTCTAAACAACCGCTATCAAACGCATGAAAGCCGATTTATATGTTCAGAAAGAAGTAGCTATCAGTCCTTCCTTCCCTTGGTGGTGACTGGATGGCCTTTATTCTCTCTTCCACTTAATGATATAATCTTTGACTGTAATCTCTCCCCTCCCCTTTGATATAGTGTAACTCTACTGGTCTCTTGTTTCTATGATATGGGTTGGACACACTATATTGTTACTCAGTTTACTAGTCACCCACTATCTTATTCACCTCTTGTCTTCATTACGTCACTCCTTTACCATTGTATGCAAACATTTATTTTTGTTAAACTAGGACTCCCTGTGTAAAAACTATAGGAATGTGATTTCCTGAACACTGTTTATTTAGTTTGGAGCCTCCTATTAACTGCCATCATGCAACATTTAAAAGTACATTAAAATTGTTCTGTACATAAACTTAATAATTTCTTTAGGCTGTACGTAGTTGATAACAAGCCAACGAAGTAAATGACGGTACCAACATATTCTACACAAACTGTTGTCCTTGATTTATTTATTTATTCGATTATAGTATAAGCATTAGGCTGATGGATAGAGGGACAATAAACTTCCCCCAGCTTCTTATGGCTTAATAGATAGATAGATAGAAATTTCATATGAAAACGTGCAGACTAAGAGAAAAGCAGTAACTGTACAAAGAGTTCCTAAGTCAATAATTCTACCATTCACCTTACCAATACGAGTGATCAATACTCATACTCTTACATTCAATCATGCAGTTAAACGAACAAAAAAATCACACAGTCACCTTAGCAACAATAAAAACAACAAAAACTGATACACCTTAGTAAATATTTCCCATATAAGGATAACATAAAAGGTATATAAAAAATTATTTTTGTATAGACATCAGCAGAAATTGAAATAAGTAAATTCTAACACTTCGTTCGGAGAAACCGGTCCGAAGTTCTTCAGGGAAAAGATCAAAATTAGAATAACGCAACGTACATATATTACTTATTTCAATTTCACTTAGACTTATACAAATACAATCTTCTTACGTATTTCTGCTTTCCACTCAGCGCCCAATCATTGTGAAACTAACCAGTCAAATCTTAATGACAGAAGGATAACAGATTTAATTAAAAAAATGCCGCAATATTATATTCATAAAGTAATGAATTAACTGAATTACCTCAATCATGTCTAAAATACAGCGTGTGACAATTTCTAGAAGTAAAACAGCATTATTATCTTGTCGTTTCATCATATTTCCAATAAATGACAATAAATCCCACAGCCCACGTGGTTCACTAGATCGACGTGACTGAAGTATACAACGGAAATTCTCCATCTCTGCGGGTAAATTAAAACTCAATGATCCAATATCACTGTAGAGTACAGGTCTTGGAGCCCAAAATCTACGCAGGGTAACTCTTAACTTTTCTTCTAATACACCACCATCGAAACACCATGCTGCAGCATCACCTAATGCACCACCAAGAGTTGGGTCTATCATTTTTTTTTTAATTGTAAGAACAAAAACAAAAATCATATACAATTCAGTTATCTTCTGAATTTTACAACAAAGAAAAGTTAAACGTACAAATAAATGGGTGTATGTGACATAAATCTAACAACAAAGTTCACAAGCTACAAGTTCTTTTGTATCATGTACGTTGAAAAGTTAGCTAGACTGAGAGTTCAAATGAACTCAGGCCAACAATGTCATACATAATAACTATGTACAAATGGAAATTAACACGCTACAATTCTTTAATTGGAACCAATCCGTATTACAAGTTACTTTTTATGCGACAATCAACAATTCAAGAAAAGAAAACAACAGTTGGTGAGTTAATATTCAGTGAATACAATTCACATCGCTCTTGAGACTGTATGATGAAGTGTACAGTACAGAATGAGTAAAAACTCGTCTTTCAACAACATCTGCATATTGACAGAAGTCTGATGCAAAATACATGCATAAACTGGTTGAAATGCACCAGTCACTGGTAACCCAGTGGTAGCTAAGTGCAACAGATCCCTTTGCCTATATAAAACTATCGCCGCACTGTATAAACAATTTCTATCCGACTAATAAAACGAAATATTTATGCATTGATAAACTGATCCACTGAAGATAACGCACCAACATCCCCTACTTATCACAATATGAATTAAGCAAAATCTTCATAAATTTGAAGCGTAACTCTGTTGTCCTCAAAGTTGAGTAGTGAAACAATTATACTACAACTCACCAGGTGCTCCAGCAGAATTCTTAATAGGATTATTTGTACCTGTTAATAACTGATCGAGTATGCGTTGTGCAGCTGGTAAAATCTGTTCATCATTAATAAGACAAGAAAAAAGAAGAAAAATGCAATTCGTATATTGAACAGTAACCTTTCATTTCATATTCATTTTTATACAAAAGTTATTAACCACGCAAAACACGTATGTGAGACAAACAAGTTGAAACTATCGTCAAAAGTTAAGAGAAGTTGACAATTTCATAGAATTCAGTGCTATAATCAATGCCAACAAATGATAGAGAAAAAAGTATGTATTAAAATTACTGAAACCATGAAACTGTGTAAGCAGTTAGTTTACAATTCAAGGTAACGAAACCCTGTCTGTCTGCTTTCAACATAGAACTTTGCACTGATGTGCAGCAGTTCACGTCGCCACACTTCATGTAGCACACGAAGCAAGAGAAGAAAGTAGAAGCAATGCATAATATAGACAGTAGACAGGGATATGAGACAAAAGGAATAGTAATAACGAAGAACAATATAGTTTCATTGGAAATTAAAAGTTACAAGGAGTGGATGCATCTAAGCAAGCCATTGAGAACGATTTTGAGCGATATCATCGACTATCTCCAGCCATTGGTTCTTACCGTCCCGAGGACCCTAACCAGTCAGATAGTCTACACCTTCCTACGTGGCTTGAAATAACTGTTGTGGATTTCATTGACTGAGGCCATGTTTTGGTTTGACCACCACTAACTCCTTTTGAATAAAGCAAGAACAACAGTGGTTTGTGCAGAATAATATGGTGCCATCATTTATTTCGTTGGCTTCTCATCAGCTGCTTACAGCCTAAATAAATTATGAGGTTTGCGTACAGAAAAGTTTTAACATACTTGCAAATGTCAGTTGACAAAAAGTTCCACAAAAAGTGAACAGTGCTCAGAAAATTGCGCTTATGTAGTTTTTACACAGGCAGTTCAAGTTTAAACAAAATAAATGTATGCGTAAAATGGTAAAGGAGTTACGTAATAAAGAAAAAAATATGCGTTAGATACAGAGTGACTAATAAATTAGGTAACAATGTACTGAGTTCAACTCAACTATAGTTCAACTCAACTGATTTGAGTTGAACTCAGTACATTGTTACCTAATTTATTAGTCACTCTGTGTCTAACGCATATTCTTTTCTTTATTACGTAACTCCTTTACCATTTTACGCATACATTTATTTTGTTTAAACTTCAACTGACTGTGTAAAAACTATAAGAGAACAGTGGTAATAGCAATCTGGTCAATTTTGCTTTTAATAATCTCCCAGTTTAAAGACTTACTCAATTGTTCATCTTTAGGTCAATAATATAAGCACCTATATTAATCAGTGAAGCATAAAAAAGATTCAACAGTCGAGGTTAGGTGTTGACAATTTTCCCATTAAATTGTCCACTGGACTAAATTATCATTCAAAAGTCTAACTAAACATTATTTATTATACATGCAACAGTATTTCTTAAGAAAAATCTAACTTATTAAGATACTAAAGATACGTTTAAAAAAATTATTATTCAACTACCAAATCCAATACAAAAAAATTCAGAGAAAGTCAAACAGTTTCTATTCTCATACTAAACGTCAATTTTTCCCAACTAGTTTAGACTTCAAATTAAATACGTGCACTAGTAGACACAATATACAGTATATTTAAGATATGATGCTTTTGATAAAAGTGACTGTATAAGATACTGGAATGCCTTAAGAAATCACTGATACTCATAATTCTCTTCACTTCAAGCAGTCGCTAAGTTCTGATACTCTTAAGAGTATCTTTATAGCTGATTACAGCTGGTAAACTTCGACTGCTGCTTACAGTTAACTGTATACTCATCCTTCACTTTGAATGATATTACTTCTAACCACATGATATGTGGATAATGGTAAACATCAGAACTGAGAAAGTTTACGATACGACAGATACTTCTACCATTTACCTGGGTGTGAAGAAAATTTATTTCAACTTCAAAATTGTTGTTAAAAAAAATACATAATGTACCTAAACGAATCACGAATTCTAAGAGAACGAATGCAATGGAAAAACTGTTTCATTCAACTCTCTCTCTCTCTTTCCCTCGATGAACTTGAACAAAGAGTGGACAACAAAGTGAGCAGGATAACATGAGGTCATTTTATTTATTGTTTACATCCTGGCGGCAATCCACAAGATGTTACAGTTGATAATCATCAAATTAAAATAGCTTATTCAGATTTGTTATGTGAATTTAATAGAGTTTACCAGTCTTTATTTGCTTATTTTATCTCGCCTTTTCCTTGATGATTCATATTAGGATTAATGATGGCATCGTTGATTTGTACCACTAGTACTAAATGTGTTTAATGAGTCTTGATTTTCAGGGGTTCGGATCGATAGCTGCTATCTTGACGTGGTAGTTTCCAGTGACCAAACGAGCTACACCGGCTGGAACGAAGATTTCTTCAGGTCTTACTATGCCAAAAGGACTAAAAGCAGTTACTGTCGTGATGCAAGTCGTTTATACTATATTAGGGCTTCAGAGTGAAGTCGTTTTGCTGGTTAATAAGGATGTGACAGCAGTTAAGTGTCCCCCCCAGACGACCAGCAAACCAAATATGCTACCCTTCAGAGCATTGGATATGGGGCCAGAAAAGGTTGACCTCAAGAATTATAAATCCTGACTTAACGTCGGCTACAAACTGCTGTAGAGTAAGATTTTCACACTGGTGCAACACCAATAACCACCAAATAGATCGTGTGTAACCAATCTCAAGCTTTTGTCGGTTGGGTTCTGTGGTCCCGCAACAATAATGCTCTTTTTATTATGTGTATTTCAAAAAGAAATCAAATTCCGTGGTACGGGTAGCGGGAAAATGACAATCAGTCATACACTTTCATCAGCGCACAAACATTTCCTGATCATCTTGCTTTCCTCCCACTGCTGATACTACTATACAGGCAGATTCTTCACCTCCTTTTAACTTAGTGATCATTAGTGGCCACTTGAGCCAAAAAACATTACCCTTGGTCTGTTAAACCCACGTTGACAACTTCCTGTTGGAGTACTCAAAGTCTGGGCCTTATGCCGAATCGGACAAAAGGGATAACTAGTCATAACTCTGGCATCTCAAGCTATGGATGTCTGCCGAGTCTCAGAAACATTCATGGACTGAGATGGCTAGAACACGTATTACAACTAGCAAGCCATCGACTTCTATGTTGAAAATTTCAGTTCTGCTCATTTTAAAATGATATTAAACGTATGTCCGTTTGCAGAAAAATACAACAGCCTTTCTAAATAGCTCTATTTTGGTTTGTTTCCTTTTTCCATGCCGTTGTGAAAGGTGCAAACTTGTGGGAGGTCCTGTGTTACTAGTTTCTTTGTTGCGCGGACCACATGAATGCTAACGAAGATTTATTTTTTTCTAGAAATCTTTAGAAAACGTTAAACATTTCTGCTTGGACGTACACAACAAATTCAAATTTGATAAATAAACAATAAACTAACCTTTCTAGGTCCGACATGACAGATTAAATTTTGAGCAAACTTCTGTAAATCTTCTCTACTCAATTTTGAAAGAGACTCTGATATTGGGGCACGTAATAAAACTTTTTCAGGCTGCCGAATACGCATTAAGCATGTCGCAACAACATGGGAACACCATGTACCGGTGGGATTTTGTCCATTTGTAGGCATCAAATCACCATGCACATTATTTTGACTAGCAATATGTTGATTATACAACCATGAACGACGACTATTTGGAGAAATTTGATTCGGTGCATTCTTTAACAAACAATTATTTCTCATAAGATAACTATTAGGTTGGTCGGGCATTTGACGTGAGTTAGTATGACAATTTGCGAAGACTGATTCATTTCTAGACCCAAATTGCCATAGCATTCCTGAATTAGACTCTGTTGTATTCATCGGCCTATAGGCAAAAGAATTTGGTCTCATAGAATTTCTAACTGAAGACAATGGAATATTCTCCATTGAGCCTGAATTGACTACATTATTTTCACCTGTATTTGAAGGTGATGCTACTGCTGTACACCTTTCTTCTAAATCAAATGTACACGTACATGAACACGAAGTTATTCGTTGTCGATCAAAAGTTAATGAAACTCGATGAGCAGGATAATCAGGCTCTATATTGAATCCACGTTTTCGCATTCTGCTAGTGTTATTATTATTATTACTATTATTATTATTGTTATTATTATTATTAGTATTATTCGTGACATTTTCATTGGTACCTCCAGCATTATCAAGATTTGACTGTAAACGATGTCCATCATTCGGATAGAAGTTGATAACATAAGGATTAAAATAATCGGCAGAACTAGGATTTACAGTACCATTCTCTTCGTTACTTGTTGGAGGCACAAACGCAGGAGCGATATGAAGACTGGTTAATACAGTTGCACTTAAATGAAATCCTACAGAAAGTAAAACAATACAAATAACAGAATACATTTAATATAAGTGAAATTCTAAGAAATTATACTGTAAAGCACTACCGTTTTTGTTTTTACCACATGTCACAACCAGTTAAAAACAGGTACATACTCTACTGAATGGAATCCATAGAGGAAGATGAAAACAGTGTGAATAGACCTGAATACAGTATAACATTAGTTGACAACGGTTAGTAAATACTCCATCAGTATTTCCCCGATCGATTTCATGTTTCGTTTACATTGAAGAGAAGGTAACCTCATATACTACACTATTGCCTTTAGATACAAATTTGAGGTAGTGTTCAATTTTCCAGAATAAGATACACAAATGTTGTGAAACGTTCAGCATGATATACCACTGGCCAGCATCCAGTAATCAATCCAATCAGCATATCAACTCACCCCTTAGAACCGAATTTTACTTCGTAGTGTGAAGACCATAAACATGAGGTTACTTGCATATGTGAGATTTCCATGAAATATCATGTGACAACCCTATATATATATATATATATATATATATATATATATGTATATATATATATATATCACACTCCAGTTAAATCAAACTTAGGGTTTAACTCCCTTGCATACTTGATTTGAATTGCCTAAGAGTAACTTACCAAAAATAATGTAACTTTACTTGGATTTTAAGTTCTGAAAGGCAAACTGAACAAATAGTACTGACGCTCAATAATAATCAACTTCTAACCTCAGAAAATCTAGTTCCCAAGACAGAGACCAGAAATATTCCACACAAAAAGACTTTATTTTCATTTATGCAATCAGTAGAAATTCAAATAAATCAATGTATCGACAGCTTGAGCTATGTGGAAATCCAAGTTACAGTACTCAGTATTGAGTAAATGAAAAATGACTTGAATTCTGAGTCTATTAAATAACAAGCAAAGAAGTGCTACAACACAAAAAGCAACCATGAGCACAATAGGTTTTGGTTTGTGTACACATTCGAGTACACATAGCGCATTTAACACAGCACCATGAATACACCACAAAATTGTTGAAGATATCCGGTTTTCTAAGTCTATAATTCCATGGTTTATAACTGCCAGATTACAAACAAAAAACTTAATACGATTGCTGCAGTCTATTGCACAAAAACAAACAAATTGCAGGCAGTGAACTTCATTTTGGAAATTCAACTATTACTGAGGTACTGAAAGAAAATCCTGGCCACTACACGCAAAAAGATATTATCCCTGAGGACAGCAAAACATCAACTAACCTATCTGAACACATTCTTTCACAGCTCTGTCTAGCCATAACGCTTCACCTTGGTTGAATTCGTATGAGCCACCACTGCTAAGACAAGAATATAACCAAATATCGTCTTCATCAGTGGGAAAACTATGAAAAGCTATAAGTCTTTGTAATTCTTCCGGTACAGTGATTGGACTAGACTCAACAACTTCGAATGGAAAATGCAGAGCGATTGTTTTAGCTGTGAGGACGAGTAGTGACTCCGGTGAGTTGAAATGCTTGCCTGCAAAATAAAAGTGTCAGTCAAAAAGTACGAAATTAACAAGACGTTGGTTTGACATCCATTAAAGTAATAGGATAGATAACTGAATACAGTGAAAAAAATAATTCATAGTCTGTAAATATCTAGGTTTTATGTCACATTAAAATAAAAACCAAGGATATTTGGTGAAAACAACTAATCGATTACCGCACTTTTAACCTCATAAACTGCATTATGACTATTGCGTAAAGTGATGTAGGGATACTTCAATCAAACATATGTTATTTATTTCGAGTTGCTGCCTTCCTCAACAAGTAATATTAGCTGAAGTAGATTCATAAAGTAGAACAACCAAGAGTGGTCCGATATAAGCATGACACGAATCCATGGCGTATTTGGCTACTGGCCTGATCTATATAGAGCTATGGTCAACTTGTTTAGGATCACTGAGTATCAGCAGTTAGAAATGATATGATTCAAAGCCACTCAAGGTTGCATCGATGGGCTAACTAGTCATTTCTGAAACTAAACGGTATATATATATATATATATATATATATATAATACATTTTCTGTACTCACTTATCCCACTGTAATACTATCTTAGTCTTATACTCTTTTTGTGAGCTGTTTTGAACTGTGATGACTTGAAACGGTGAGTTTCTATGCGAATTCCTAAGTTCATCTGTCACCCATTTGCATAAAGGATGAGCCAAGTATTTTTTTTTCCTTCACGTTCCCCAGTGGAACATAGGGCTTCAAGCTAGTGGCTTGAAGTTTCTGTAGCAGTGTTTATTTTACAGGATGTGGTTGCTAGCCTCATGCCCAACGTTTCCTCTTCACCAGCATTATTTCTGGCTCAGCGAGGTAAAGGAGTGCGTATAGTGGAAAAAATGAATAGTCAGTAGTAATGAGCAGAATTAGTAAATGATAATATTATTATGAGTAAATTTCTATTTTTTCTTTGAATGAACTCAAAATTTACTAGTCTGCACGATACCTTAATCTTATATAACCAAGCAGTGGTTGTAATATTACATGTAAATTATAACGTAGTGCACTAACAAATTCACAGCTACTGAATTTTAGATGAATATTGGAGGACATCCCTATACAAACAAAAAAGAGTTCTCAAGAATGTCTCCTCAGGACAGACTCAATAACAAATCTTATTTTACCATTGAATATTCATATGCCAAAAAGTGAGACAAGGAATTTGATAAAAGTAGAATGTGATCTCGAAGCACCCCATTTCTGCGATCTTAGAACATTGGTTTACATTTATATTCACTAGTTTGGAGAACAGCTGCACTTAATGAGAATTTTCAGTTCCTGACATAATGCTGAAACTTTGGCACACTGTGAATATTGAATATTTTCAAGAAATATTTGAACTAGCGTCACGTAGCTAGGTAGGAGGAATGAGATATTTTGAGGGTTGGTACTGAGGTTCTGCTTGCTTATAGTCAAATGACACCGGACAGAATAACGGCAAAACTGAAACTACTAAGGTAGTATAATATCTGCTTTATTTGTTAACTGGTATAGATAGAAAATCGCCGAGAAAAACGATTATGCAGCTACCTGTCTTCCTTTTGGAAGCTCAAAGCTTACAGCTTTTGTCGTACACGTCCATGACCGTAGGTAGTAGTCCTAAGTATGATAGCAAATAAAACCTGAAGCATAAATAGCACTAGAAACAGAGGTCGACCTGTGGATTCTCAATGAATATAGAATCAAACTGTCTTATAAGCTACTTAGCATATAATCAAGAGACAACGACGATGCCAAGCTACCAAAAACAAAATTTCGGAATGGAAACATTTGATCAATAAATTAACTTACGGCTAGAGTCCTCTTCTTTTTCATAAATATTTGGCTTCGTTAATCCTCTGAATGTGAAATCCAAGTCGAACTCGCTACTAGGAGTGTATATGGAGAAGTCTATGTCACTTTCAACGTCATTAGTCGTTCGGGCTGATGAATAAGAGCTCATTATTTCCGACAGTCTTAGGACAGATAAACCGGTGACACAGTAGAATCAGAACTGAACAGCCACGAAGTTAGCGATCAGGTATTCATGCCTAAAGCGCAAGCAAAAACCAAAGGTAACATTTGCATTTCTTAAACAGAAACATCATTAGAGTGTATAAACACAAAGGCATATATTACGTGATTTCCTCAGCTACATTTCAAGGACTTCAGAAAAACATATATAATTAACTGAGACCAAGAATTCAAACTTTGACATTATCGATACAGTTACACCATTTAAATTCCAAAGACAAAGATTTAAAATCCCCGTTTATATATCCCAGCCCCATTATTTGGAATAATATATCAAGAATTTCATAAAATTGAAGTTAAATCTAGACGTTCTAATTATTGGATTGCAAGTTGACGTAAATGCGAACACACCTAAATGTTCAAAACTAGGTAGTGTCACTAGCTCTATGCAATTTTACACTGACTCACCACTCATTGAAAATTAACAAGCAGACTGTTATTTGACCCCATATATTAATAACCTTAGGGCATGCGGAACTGTCAATAAAATTTGGAGTCTTTCCAACAATAGTAATCGACTGATTTACACCTATTTCTTAGTAGTGAGTAACTACCATGGCCATTAAACTTTAAAATTTAGGTCTGGGCAATCTCAAATTCCAGCCATCAAACAAGTAAGAAGTTATTCGGGTGCAGTCACGTAGTCTTAATTATCTTCCATCAACTACAGATTTTCATATAAAAGCACTAAGAGAAATTAAGCAAAAGCCTGAAATATACAAGAAGTCCTCTAAAAATTTTAGGTACACGAAATACTTCCTGATAAGTTCGAAGATATGTTAGGACTTCAGAAAGCACTAAACATACCCAAAACTACACTTCACATTTTCCGTGTAAAGATGGTTATAGAACTTTTTATCCTGAAACTGAAGTCCAAAATCCATATCGTAAGATTTGAAGTCATATATTTCATAAAAAGTAATGTACATATAATTCTATAGAATTGGTTGGATAGTCTGCAAGCCTTTGGGTTTTTACTGGGGTCCAATATTGAACATGATGGCAGAAGCTAAGACGAATAATTGGTTAGACTCCGAGCAGGATGCAGACACTTCGGATAGGGCAGGTGTACAATCATGGGGCGCACCTGGTCTGTGGAACACATTTGTTCGATGTTGTCACGACAACAGTATCTACAGTGCGCCGTTGTTTTCGAAAAGTGACTAAATTTGTATGAACTTTCAATATTGCAGTATGAAAATGATGTACACATATTTATAAAGTTATTATTCCCTCTAGTTTACCAACAAAAACAAGCCTAAAAATTCTAAAATTAGAATCTGCAGTGCGTGCGATGCTATTCCAAGGTGTGGTGCATTCAGAGAATTTGGAATCAACAAATCTGATTTTCTGAAACATTCTCAAACATTCAATTTACCCAGGTTTTGAAACACAAGAGAACAGTAACCCTAGTTGGGCTTCCGGGTCAGACTGTGCAGTCGGATTTTTAAAAATAGTAGAAGAAGTGGACCAATGAATTGCTTTGTACTTACCTACCAGTTTGAAGTCAAAACTTGTCCAACAAATGCAACAAAGTAGCGACGGTAGGAACCTTATTTTCACAGCAGGAAACTAATGTTTAAAACAACCACCGCCGAAACTATGACCTTGGATTTTACCATACGAATTCCAGGTAATCGTATGAACAAAGTGAATTAATTAATGGTTCTCAAAGTTCTGAGCAGGTGTTACTGCACTTCACTGTTCGGCGTCTTCCGAAACAGAATACGGTAATTTCTCGCAGTGAATGTGCATTATACCATGAAAGGTTCATTTGCCAATGGAACAGACGGTAAACTTTGTTCCTGATGAAATTTCATTGCACTTTACCAACAGCAAACTAATTAATAAACCAATAGCTGCTTTTCAATCTCGTGGAAAGGAGCAATCATATATTAATACATATCTATTTGACCACATTCAAGTGGTGGAATTGCCACCACAAAGATTGAAACCTAACTTTTTACTCACACATCTTACTTAATCTGCTGTAGGTCGAAGATATTTGGGTTTCGGCCTGAGAATCCTAAGAAGGGCGTACCATAATCTTAATAATGCTTATCACCCCATCAGTGTAACCTTTAGTTTTCACTACTTAACCGCTGTTAAAGTGTCATTCTCAACAAAACAGCAAACTAAAAGGCAAGGACTGAGTTCCACTTGGACTCTGTCAGAAGTGGAATTTTTTAACCATGGAAAAATTTACTTCCCCTTATATTTTGAAAAGTGGATTACGTGACAGTGAAACAAAAGCTATATTTTCTGAAGTATTTTACCCAACCCTTTAGCTGTGTATAGTATCACAAGTGCAACGATGTGAAGACCAAGAAACTTGTATTTCACACTAAGACATAATTATGAATTAATGTTCAACATTCGCAGATGTTTTTGCTTTCAGTGCTTTGTTGGCAGATCACTGAGCTCCTTATTTATTGAATTTGACTTGATGTATAAAATGATCAGCTTTATAGCTTTCACAAGTGCAGCAGGCATTAGAAAATACTGTGTCACCATGACTACCCGATATCTCGGAATTCGCATTATATTTAAGTACGTTAAATACCTGCCCAATTTACATGAAGAAGACTTTTCGAAAGCTAAATGCAAAGCTTGTGTACGTTAAACTGGTAACGTTTTATTAATAAGTCCTTTAGAGAGAGCGCTCTGTCTTCTGTAGCGGTAAATTCTTGTACATATGCGCTACTTGAGGCCAGTTTATGTAAATGGCCATCAGCTTTGGGTAATTGTTTGCCTATCCAGTCTAAGCTGTCGAGTGAATCGGAGGACACTAAGCAATCATCCACATAGAGACAATAGTCGAACACTTAGAAGAGATTAAGTGAACCAAGACTCAGATGATGCAAAGCTAGAACAGGACTGAGGAGTCTTCCTGTAGAGGGTCACAATAATTCCTTCATTCGACTGAACCTCAACCATTTCACCTTCGGCGATCGGTTTGTTTGACTGTGCTGACTGAGTCAAATTTCGGACAACTGGAGTTTCAGGGGCAGCTGCGTCGTGGTTTTGTGAGACGTGGTAGGTTAGACGACTTTTCAATGTTTAAACTATGCTTGTCTAATTTCATGTTGGCTACGTAAAGTGCGTGGATTGGTCGCCCAGGGCGATGCAGCGGATGACCAATAAGAAAACCGTTCCCCCCACTTAACTGTATCATGATTGGTTGTAAATACAATCCCTGACCTTGAGTCTTCGTTCTCATTAGCACGCGGGACTTGTGTGGTCACCCTGCTAGCGTGCGCTTTGCTTTCTGTTTGAGATCACTGTTTGACGATTGAGATTACAGTGTGATTGCGTGTCCTGCATTCTCTTTATACTTTCGTTAATAAGTACATTTTAGAACAGCCGTAAGTATCGTATACTCCCTTCACTGGTTAGGGTGGTATTCATAGTAGCCTGTTCGTTTGGTGAGCTGAACCAGACCGAAAAGTCATCAGATAGCGTGGTCGAGCCTAGGTAAGTCGGTAAAGAGGGCCACACAACAATGAGCACTAACTCTAGTTGAAGCCAACTAGATATGAGCTCGAAGTAGTTGAAGCAGCCCAACTGACTGGTTCCCTTTAAAACCACTAGGCGGGAGAAATTCTGTTCTCGATTCCAGCAATTCTCCATATGCACCACCATCCAGCCGCAAACTCTTTGTAGCCGGTACATCCAGCGTTTGCATTACATTTTAGCTTGAATCGCTATACATTTCTATTTTTGCGGTGAGACTCACACAAGTGTTTCTCCAGTTCCATAAATTTAACCAATAACTCTTCCACTAATTATTTATGGTTAATCTTACAAAAAAGCCACGAACTCAGTCACCTGTTAACCTGATGACTGATAGTACACATGTGCTCGCAACAGCGAGCAACACAACTCCCACAAAATATGGAAGTGAGAAGCACAGCTTGTCAGCACGCCGCAAGTGTCGAGCTGCTGTGTCACTACCATATTCTGCGGCCGGAAGTGACAGCAAAGATATTCTGACAACTAGTAGTAGCATTGCCTCTACGAACTCAGAACCTGGTCCTGATATAGACTCCCTCACTTCGCCTTATGTACGTGTCGCAAGACTTCAGATACCAAGTCCAGACTCAACACTTACTTCAGAAATAGAGCGACTAAATCTGTCTGTAGAAGAGCTAAAGACTGAGATGCAGGATATAAGGTGTAGTAAAGCTATTAATGCAGGATGTTCAGAAAATTTGGCCAGCATATCTGAACTATCAACACAGATTAGGGACATTAAAATAGCAGGTCTGTGAAATTACACCTCTGGGGATCCTGACCAGAACCATAAACCCTGGCGAAGTTGACAGAGAATCAGTAACTAAGGTAGACATCCTGATAAACTTCATCACAACAATGTTATCAAAAGAGTAGATACTAAACTGAGTGTGATAGTCTATAATACATCGTATAATGAAGGGTTGAAAAGGTTCAAAGTATCTTACTAAGGGAGGTGAAAATGCCTAACTCCCAGACAAAGTTTCATAGACTGAAAAAGAGTCAGCAAGACTACTGCTGCCCTATACGCCTCCAGTTTGAAACGCAGACAGGCTAAGAAATTCACAACGTATCCCATTACAGGACACGAGCTACAAACAAATAAAGGTTGTGAAAAACAATACAGTCATTGAAAGGTGTGCTTACAATCACTTCACTAAATCTAATGGTAAGAAGGACAAGACACTGCAAGTAACCAAAATAGAGAAACCCACGGTCAACACGGTAGAACTCACAGCCTCCTCCTCTCAAATCTTGAAATAGTAGCTCCATAGAACACGATACCAACAAAAAGACTTGTGAATTATAATCTTACTCTTAAATCAATCCCTTCACCCTCTACCATGGATCTCTATATGTCTCTGGGTAGCCCTAAGACAGAAATCAGTGCCTCTCGTTAGTCGACAGTGTCCTCTCCTAGCCATAACATGAGAAATCAAATGGAATTAGGTAACAAAACATGCTGAAATACACCACTTGTAACGAAAAATCCTCAATACTTTCAAATTCCTAAGAAGAATCGACTCTGTCAGGGAAATGGGACACAAAGTAGTACTAACAACCACATCAAAAGCAGAAATAATGCCACACGGTCCATGGACAATAACGACAGAACATGCTCGCATACTAAGACAAGTCACACTAGTAGCTGGTGTAGCAACGCCATCACGCAAAATAGTATAAGTGGAAACACTCAGAGCTCAGCTACAAACCACTCTGGGTCTTCAAAGTATGACACAAAAACTAACTTCCACAGAATATACGGAACAAGTCTACTGGGAATCAAACCAAAGTGCAGCAGTGTATATAATTAAAGCCATGTAAGGACATTTAAAATGTCTTTAAATAATAGGCAGATTAATAAGTCATGGGCATCATAAGGTGCCGATGATTTTCCATCCACCACATCTCTGTCAGCACTAACCAAACAACTGGTGGAGGCGTCAATTCTTATGAACTCGTACCACTAATGTAGGCTCCCAATCGGGAAGAAAACAGACACAGTCTAGTGCACACACAATTATTAACTACACACAGTGCTTGAACAAGCATAGGCCAAATAAGAACTCTTACCCAATTCTTCAATGTACCCAAGCCTAGAACTACCTCATCCTGTAGTACATCCAATAGTAAAACTCATTCCTCACTAAAAGATCTGGATAGTAACTCGATAAAAATAGGTGAATATGGTACTCATACTAGTTGCACACAGGGTTTTTATGCCACGCGGAACCAGTGGATGCCGATCCACACTTGAGCCTGACTGATGAGCTTAAATACCTCAAACACTGCTTCAACTCTCAAATTTACTTAATTCTTATTAATGCTACATTTATCCTAAACAAACTACCGATGCTCAGGGCACACACGCCGGTATATAAACCGCCAATAATCACTCCAATATACTAGACGACGAGATAAGCATCGGTGGCTACACACACTTTCGATATAATAGGAACAGTGGTAAGGGAGGAGGCTGCCTAATGTGCTTCCTTAACACGCTTACTGTATTACAGCCAGAAAATAGGGAACTTAATGACACGCACGACACCCTATGGGTAAACGTACACTTCAAAAGTGCTACACTACTAATAGAATGTATCTACAGAGCACCTGGAACCTTTAGTGATTACGAGACTCAACTTATTAATGCACTGGAGCAAGTATCCACTCTTTCATACAAGCATAAGATCATATGTGCAGACTTCAACTTACCCGAAATCAACTGGGATTTATTAAGAGGCCCAACCAAATATGACAAGCTCTTAGATACACTGGACATTTTCGGCTGTAAGCAAACTGTCACCATCCATACAAGAGGTGACAACGTACTGGACCTAATCTTCTGCCACGATATAAGTCCCCTCACAATCTTCATGGGTTCTAAGTTTTCAGGAAGCGACCACAAAACAGTGATGTGTGCACTGCCACTTCCACTGAGTAGCAATACAGCTTATACCTCCACTTCACAATAAATAGCATATAGGAACTATAGTAAGGCAAACTGGGCTTTCGTAGAATCGATGCTAGGATCCCTTGAATGGGGCGAATACTTCACTACTGATAACCTCTCGAGAGCT